AAATGTGCATTTTTTTTTTGTTAAAAGGTGAACTTATCCTTCAAGTTCTGCACCATCCAGCAAAAGATCAGGAATCCCTGCATTAGAAAGTCAGCCATGTGGAAGCAGTTTATAGCAAGACAGGAACATTGGGGGACCTCTGGGCTCCCTTCGTCAGCGGGAAGCAGAGAGTTGAAAAGTACATTCCTTCTGGAATTACTAGATATAGCAACAGAGACACACAGGTGGCTGACAGAACAGTTCATGTATGTACTGCTGTCTAAAAAGATCAGAGACATCTTACAAGAAAAAAAAAAAAAAAAGATTGCAGCAACCGAAAGTTATAATTCAACAAACTGTTAGAAGTGGCCATAGTGTGTCAGGAACAAAGGTGCAGAGGCCTTCATGGACCTATGGCTGTCAAAGGTGGGAAACCAAAACCAAACAGGCAGCTCCATGGGAGTTGGCCATGCACAAACTGACAGAAGGTAAGGCTCAGCTTCAGACATTATCCTTTGTGATGCGCAGACAGCAATACTCCATTGTGAAGCAAGGAGGAGATGCCCCCTCTTGCAGGAAGCGTACACTGCCTCAGGGGTGGCCAAGGCAGGCAAGGTCATCATCTCCAAGCTGGGGCTGTCAATGAAGGCCACCTCCAGGGAGAAATCCAAAACATGGAACATTCTGCTCCTGTGAGTGAAACAGTGGGCCAGCAAAGTGGCCAGATTAAAGGTTGTGAATAAAGAAACCGCGGAGCTATTAAATCCTGGCATGACTGAAGGAAGGCATGAGAATAAGCTGTGGATGAACCTCATCCACATCCTGGACGGGTATAACTGGGCAGGAACACAGAAAAAAGGATGCAGTGGTTGCCCCACTAATAGAGGCAATGCTGTTGTGGCAGTGCTGAAGGAATGGTCCCACTGTGCCCTGAGGAATTGTATACTGTACCACACAGTAATGTTCCCAACGTGGATGACATGACAGGTCATATTGTCAATAGCCTGAGCCATCCATGTGTAAGGTGTGTACCTGCTTCAAGAGACAAGCCACGTGTGTGGATCTGTTCCAGGTGAACAAATTTGTTGAGACTGTGTGTGATTTTGGTGTCAAAGGGGACTGAGAGCAAATTGCCACCTCTGACTTTGCACTTGTCTACCCCACTAGAAGTATTGACTGTAGACTTACTTCCTCTTGACGTGTTGCAAAGAGGATTAAAATCACATACTTGTTAAAGTAGACTACTTTACAAAGCTTGGGGTAGCGGTAACCGACCCAAAACCAGACCACCAAGACAGCTGTAATATGCTTCTTAACCAGTTACCACCTGCCCATAGTAAATTTTACAGCGGGCAAGCAGCATGAGCAGGCTGGATGATGAACATATACGTCATCCAGCTCTGGGACACAGAGTGGACCCGGACCCAACGGATTGCGGCTCCTGGTACCTGGTCGCTTTGAAGGGCTGGGTATCATGTGATTGCCAGGTATTCACATAATTTCAATGTCAGCAAAGGTGTTATGAATGAATTACATTCATAACAGGTGTGATACCTATAGTGATGCTGTGATTATCCTACAGCTAGCACATGGTACCAAGGCCAATCATAGCACCCTGTACCATGTGATAGCTGTGGGCCAATCACAACACACAATAGTAGTCACAGTTGTTATGAATGTAACCCCCTCCATAAAAAAAAAAAAACCCTTATCCCTGTCCCAGAGTAGTACAGCATCACTATGATGAACATATGTTAAAAAGTATGTTGTTAAAAAAAAAAAAAAAAAAAGTTAAAAGAAAAAAAAAATCCACCTTTTAAAAAAAAAATGTTTTTAAACAGTCAGTACCCGTGCTCATCACCACACCAGTCATATGACAATGCTGTACTGCACTGGTGACAGTATGTTAAAAACAAAAAAAGTTATTTCTTAATTTTCCAAAAAATTGTGATAAAAAAAAAAATTACAATTTAAAAAAAGTCAGCATGCCTCTTACTAAATACCTCAGACTATTTTCCAAAAAGGGATCATCTGGATCTTGAGGTTAAGGCTGTCAGTGCATCAAAATTGATCATTTTTCAAATTTATATACAAAGTTTGTAGATGCTATAACTTTCACACAAACCAATTCATATACACTTGTTTTTTTTTCCCAAAAGACATTTAGCAGAATACAGTCTGGCATAAATGAGGAAATTTTATATGTTTAGAAGCAGAAAGTAGATTTTTTTTCTCTTAATTTTCGGACATTTTTGGTTTTATATAGCAAAAAAATAAAAACCCTGTACTGATAAAATACCACCAAAAGAAAGCTCTATTTATGTTAAAAAAAAAAAAAAAAAAAAAAAAAAAAAAAGGATATAAGCTTAATTTGCGTACCATGCTGTATGACAGGACACCTGCCAGTTAAGTAGCACAGTGCTGAATAATGGTAATTTTTCAAATAATCCCACTTGTAAACCTTCCAAGATTTGTCCTTTTGTGACTACATTTTCTGCTCAGTTCAAAACTATCACGAGAATAATTAACCAAAATTGGAAAATTCTTAAAGCGGATCCAGTTTTGGCGAGGATCTTGCCAGACAAGCCGGAGATTATATTCAGAAGGGCACAACCTTTGAGAAATACTATAGCCCCTAATATTGTAAATCCCCCTACTAAGACTACGTTCTTTAACAATATGGTCGGCTTTTTCCCGTGCAATAATTGTATCATATGCACATGTAATGGACATAGGAAAAAGAGGATTGATGATTTTACATCTACTAGTACTGGGAAGAACTACAAGATTAACAACTTCATATCATGCAATAGCCGATATGTGGTTTATCTTTTGCAATGTCCGTGTAAGAAACAGTACGTAGGTCGTACTACCAGGCGACTTAGGGACCGACTGCGGGAACACGTTAACAATGTGAAAAAAGGTTATAAAGAGCACTCGTTGTCAATGCACTATAGGACTCATCACAACAGGGACCCATCTTCCTTGACATTTGTAGGGATAGATGTAGTGCAAAACCATTGGAGGGGAACAAATAGAAAAAAAGCGGTTTCTCAGATGGAAACGAAATGGATTTACCAAATTGACTGTATGCGTCCCAAAGGACTTAACATAGACATGGACATTAATTGCTTCATTGACAACAGTTAATTCCTTATTGTCTCTCATCCCTTTCGGTTTTATGGTTTGGGTCATAGTGTAATCATTTTTACACATTTTTATATATTTTTACATTTTTTTATATATTAATTGTATATGAAGGGATATGTTCCTCTACATAAGTATATATCTATACGTGGTTTTAATTTGTTTTGATTGTGTGATTTTATATGTGTATTGCATTATATACTCATTATGTCATATATTTCTGTTTTTTTGGTATTTTGAATGAGGGTTTATTAAAGAGTGTGGCATTAGCGGTGACCACCAGGTATAACCTCATTTTAAACTTGACCATTTGACATTTTAAAAATGTTTTAAAAATGTTTTTCGTATTGCTGATTAACATATTGATCAACATGCGGATTAATTTGTGGGCATATTGTTCATTTATACTTATATTTATATATAAGGCTTTGGGTAAGATGTCCATCTGATGACCAATTAGTAACCTGGTCTGGATGGTGTTTTCAATTGCCCATGAGACTGCTACTGATTGTCTCCGTGCACTGGTTGCTGGGCTACACACCTTTCCCTGGTGATCATTGTTATGCTGTCTATACCGTGCTGACAGCGCTCGCGCATGCGCTGTTTGGCGGGCTACATGAAAATGGCGCCCTATACGGAGACATGTGTTGACGGGAAAATGGCGCGCGATTACAGCGCATGCGCCACTTTCCCTATTTAGGGCTTACACTGACGTCCACTGCTGTAAGCTAACCCCCTATGACTACGTGCCTTCGCACGAAACGCGTCAGGGAGCGGCTACAAGCAGTGTGACGTCACGCCGACCGGCGCCACGAGGGCCCCGGCGGCTATCCATTACATATCCACTGTATGGGTCAGTATCCTTCCTGCCTCTGCCTGTATATTACTGTGTGTTTTTGGGAATAAATACCCCTTACCTATCTGGTATCACACTATTTGGCCTCCTTTGTTCTTTGGGCTCTGTTGGGAGTCCTTTACATCTGCAGAGCGGCCTTTTCCTCTAAGTGTGGAGTACACTACCAGGTGGCGGAGGGCTTTCTGTGACCAGATCTGACCAGATCTATATGGTGACCTCGGAATCATCAGCTTTGAATGCGCATTTGAATTGCGCATTTGGTGAGTGCGCAATTTTACCTTTATTCACCTCATCCACGAATCCAGGGATTGGAGCTCTTAAAGGACTCTCTTGGATTCTGAGCACGTTATGGACTGAATTCATCATTTAGTCACCATTCTGCACTTTAATAGCACTTTTTATTGATTTATATGTATGCTTATCAGATATATTAGTATATTCATATAGCTAGCGCTGCACCTCTCCCTTGAGTGCTGAATAATGGCCTGGTCAAGAAGGGGGTAAAACCTTCCAGGGGTCAAGTAGTTAAACACTCGTATACACTTGCAAAACTTTCAGATAAAACCACCTAACATTTGACTTGCTCAGGTGTGAATGCAGCCTTAAGCCTGGTACACACTGCAAGCTTTTTTTGTCATTGAACCCGGGTGAATGAATGGAACAAAAAAATGGACAGATCACCATACCAAACAAACAAAGCGATGGTGCAACAATCTTCCTCGCTGTACTATGGTATTTTGACAGGGGACTCCATCCACCCCTCCCACCATTCTGTACAATGTGTAACCCACGTATATTGTTGCTAATTGTTTTGACTTTCCCCCACACACCATCACCAAATCCCACCATTCTGTCGGGCAGACCATTTTTAGACAATGTGAACCCACGTATATTGTTGCTAATTGTTTTGCATTTGGAAAGTTATGTACTAACAGATACCTGTGGTCAGCACACAGACAAGCTATATCTGCAGTGACAACTGTTGGAAATATTGTTTAATATGTGTGTGTCCTTCCAGCTCCCGCTCTCATTTGATGGTCATCTTGAGACTGAATGGTATGGATAGCATCTCAGGGGCTGTCTCCAGCTCTACACTTACACTGTGCGACCTCGCAGGATCAGAACGCATATCAAAAACTGAAGCTACTGGTCAGCGCTTGGTGGAAGCTGCTGCAATTAATAAGTCTCTCACAGCATTGGGACAGGTATTCATATACATTTACACATTTATATACACACACATTTAGATTTACAGCTACTTTGTTTTCTAAATTGTACCTTGCCGATGACAGGCATTTAAAAAAAATGATTCTGTACCAAAATCATTGATATGAGGCAAAATATGTTAAAGCAATTTATTTCTTTTGGCAAACAGCACCATCTAGCCACTAATCCAGCCACCCGCATCTTCACCAGGTTATTTATAAGACAAGAAATCCAGCAGGGAATAGGAAATTTAAATATGTATGAAAACATTAAAGTGGAATTCTGGCCCCCAGGCCCCTCCTCCCCCCCCCCCCCCAAAAAAAAAAAACATGTAGCTGCTGACTTTTATCATTAGGGTATATACCTGTACAGGGATCCAGCACTGTCCTCACCCCAAGCCGAATCTTCAATTTGCTGACGCCACCATCTTGACTAAGGGAAACTGGCAGTGAAGCCTTGTGGCTTCACTGTTGGTTTCCTACTACACATGGATGAAGCATGCTGCGGCAAAAGGCTGCGAGGAGAGGCCTAAATTCCAGCTCAGTTCGCCACGGTGAACTGAGCCGGAAGTGGGAGCGGGTACCTGTCAAAACCGTGTACTCCCCCAAAAGGTAGCGGGGGGGGGGGGGAGAAAAGTGGAAGCTCCGCTGTAAGAAGCAATTTATTCCAATCCAAAAAATGTTAAATGTTTCATAAATCATACTATTTGCAATACCAAACAATCAGTTTCCAGTGTGTTATACAACTCTAGGCCTTCTTTTCCATTATGCATTAATACTAGATCTTATGTCAGCTAATTAAACTACTGCAACTTGTACTGATGCATTATTTAGATGATGTATTTTCAAGACAATCTGCTTGGTTGAATTGCATAGGCATCCAATCTAAAGGCTGTCCCAGTTGTATGCTGCCTTGACAGAAGGTGTTTAACAGCTTCGCTTGTTTTAGCACTTCAGCAGAGAGAGAATCTATAGCAGCAGCATTTATGCCAGGTTATTGAAGTATAAAATAGAAAATGGATACAGGAGATATACATTTTTAAAGCAATGGCCATCTATTTTTTCTAGTGCATAACTTTAGTAAACAGATATTTTCCAAAAAGTTGGTATTCAACATTTTGTTTTTTGCTAAGACACTTCCAGTTTGGACTGAAAAAGAAATCAGTAAGTATTTTAACAAGCTAGCCTCTACCACAAATGGGCATGGTAGTTTTGGTGGGACACACATGTGAACCACTTCAATAGCAGGCAAATATGGACGCTGCTCTCATATATGTAAAAAATTAGCCTTTTTTGTTAGAAAATTACTTTGAACCCCAAAACATCATATATATATATTTTTTAATCAGAGGCCATAGAGAATAAAATGGTGGATGTTGCAATGTTTTATGTTACACAATATCTGTGCAGCATTTTCTCAATTTTTTTTGTAAAAAATACACTTTAATGAATTTTAGTGCACAAACACAATATTTTGGAATAATGCAAAAGAGGACATTGCATCGAGTAGATACCCAAAATGTTGCATTTTAAAACTGTGTATGCCCATAGAACACCACCATACTCTGATGTGCATGACAATACCTTGCCTTTGTGCTGTGGTCACTGTTTACATGTGCGTGTGGGACTTGTATATGCATTTGCACATGAGCACGTAGGATCGGGGTGCTTAAAAACATGGTTAATTACTGGTAACGGTCTTTCTGGGAGTCTTCCAGGATAGCTACATGAGATACTAGCTCATCCCATACAGGAAACACAATAGTAAAAGCCCCTCCCTCCCTCCCCCTCAACCTCAGTAATTAGGAAAGAAGACCATAACCAGTGTACATAAGGGGAAAACACCAAAAACCATACATCACAACATTAGGAAAAAACGTAGGGTGGGAATTAGAACGCCGTCCTGGAAGACTCCTGGAAGGACCGTTACTGATAAGTAACTGTGGTTTTCCCAAAGCATCTTCTAGGATGGCTACATGAGAGGATAAACAAGAAATATTCCTACCTTAGGAAGGGACCACAGCCTGTAGAACTGTCCTTCCAAAGGCAAAGCCCTGTCTGGAAAGAAGTTGCACACGGTAGGCGTGGTTATTCGACCAAACTGCTGCTCTGGAAATGTCTTCCCATCCCATGAAGCACCTGCTCTCTCTGCCCAGGAGGCTTGTAGAATGTGCATGCACTCCTAGAGCTTCTGAAATCTCTGGTCACTCTCAAATGTTATAACAAACATCTTTTGACATCTAAAAAACTAAATAATGTCTCCTTTTCATTCCTGGGGGAGCTGCAGAAAGAAGGCAATGTAACTATTTGAGAACAATGAAAATCTGATGAAACCTTAGAAAGGTACATAGGATCAGGTCTCAAAACAACCCTGTCCTTCAAAATGGTTAAATAAGGATCCTTGTAATAAAAAGACTGCAAGTCCTCCACTCTTCTGGTTAACAAAAAGGCCATCTTACTGGAAATACACTTCAAAGAACAGTCAGTCTAGCAAGAGCTTACATGGAGCCTTCGTGAGAGCGTCTAAGAATAGGGACAGATCCCATGGAGGAACTGTCTTAAGCACCCTAGGGATCTGTCTCTCTCTAGCCAATAGAAACCTTCCAACAAGAGCATCTTCAGCCAATCTTTGATCCAAAAACACAGACAAGGCAGCCACCTGTACCTTCAAGGTACTGACTGTCAACCCCCTTTCTACCTCCGCCTGCAAAAAAATTAGCACTATGGGATTAGATATATCCCACTTCCCTGATCTAGATCTCCAAGAATGAATGGTTCTCCAAACCTTTCTAGTGCAAAGCATTCTACTGTTCAGAAGGGTTTGAATTACCATCTCTGAACATCCCTTAGATTTGAAGATCCACCTGTCAGCCTCCAGGCCATCAGCTGGAAGAGAGGAGGCATGGGATAGGGAACTGGTCGTCCGAGAAGTAAATCTGAATGGTCCGGGAGAATTCAGGGAGGGGACACTGACAGGTACAAAAGGATCACAAACCAACTCCTTTTTGGGCCAGTATGGCGCTATGAAAATCACCAGGAAGTCCTCCAGGGTGATCTTCCAAACAACCTGCAGAAGAATTGCAAGTGGAGAAAATGCATAAGCTAGACTGAAGTTCCAACTCTGCGTCAAAGCATCTGCCCCTAGGGCTCCCTTTAGAGACTCTCTCTATAAACAAAAGAAGTCCTGGAGGAGACAAACAGATCCAGCTCTGGAACACCCCACTGATTCATGATCTGTGCAAAAACCTCTGCATTCAGTTCCCATGTTGAGAAAATCGGCAAGAATATTATCTGACCCCCTGAGATGGACCGCTCTAAGAGACTTCATACAACCCTGTGCCCAAAACAGAATTTCCAGAGCTAGGGCAAGTAATTTCGGAGATCTTGTGCTGCCCTGACAATTTAAATAACTCACTGTTGTGACATTGTCTGAAAAAACGAACACGTCCTGATTGCGGATGGAATCTGAGAAGGCCCTTAGAGCCAAACCTACCGCTAATAGTTCTCTGAAATTGGAGGAAGCAGCCTCTAGATCCAACTCCCAGGTTCCCTAAGTAGTAAGGACCCAAATGAGCTCCCCAACCTCAGGAGCTGGTGTCCATAGTTACTCTTATTGGGTTCTTCTGAGCCCAGGGCTGACCCCCAGATAAATTTTGTTGTTCTACTCACCAATCTAACCCAAAAGAATCGTCCTGTGGAAGATTTACTACTCTGTCTAGAATAGCATGATTGTGATCCCAGGAGGCTAGCAAAAAGGCTTTCAGCTTTCTTGAGTGAAGCTGGGACCAAGGGATGCTCGGACTGGCTGTCGTCATTAACCCAAGAAGCTGCATAATCTTTCTGAAGGATGCCAGGGAAATCGAAATCTGGGAAACAGAGTATCTGGTAACCTAAAAACCGTTTGAGAAGGATTCAGGTTAGACTTCTTTTGGTTTATTAACCAACCCAAAGAAGCCAGCTCTGTGAGAACTAGATTCAGATGCGATTCCAGTTTCGCTTTTGTGGGTGCAAAAATGAATAGATCGTCCAGATAGGGAATAATAGCCATGCTCTGCTTGCGCAGGATAGCCATGACATCCACTAAAACTTTTGTGAACACTCTTGGAGCTGAAACCATGACAATTGGTAGTGCCTGAAATTGCCAGTGTTGTACTGCCTTCTCTGAAAGAGTTGCAAATCTCAGAAATTTCTGGTGATCTTGATGAATAGGAACATGGAGGTAGATATCCTGCAGATCCAGAGAGGCCATGAAGACCCCCTGGAAAAGTGGATTCCTTACAGTAAAAATACTCTCTATTCGAAATCTCTTGTAAACGCTTTCTTACCAGAAAAACATGAGAATAGTAACCCTGGTATTGAAAATCTAGTGGAACAGGAATGCTTGCCCCTTGAGAAGCCAACTGTGAAAATCTCCACAAGGGCTTCTGACCGTTCTCTGTCTTCGGCGGTTTGGTTACCAAAAATAGTCGGGGCAAAGGAGAAGCAAATTCTAATTTGTATTCCTCTCTTATAATCTGAAGAACAAATGGACTTACCTCCCTTTGTTCCAAAATGTGCTAAAAAATGAATAATCTGCCCCCCACCTGGGGCCTGGCTTCACTTGTCGGTTTTGGGAGCGGGGTCTCTAGAAGTAAACAAGTCTCCCCCTCCCTTCCTTTTCATTTGGTCATGTCAAAAGCCGAATACTTTCTTCCCACCTGAGACTTCTTGGGGTCAAACCGACCCTTCATTTGCTTACCCCGAAAGGATCCTTTGGTACGAAAATTATTTCCTTTCACCAGAAATTGGCCACCCTTTTCCGAAGAATGAGAAAGAATAGTATGGAGACCTGAGAAAAATAATAGGTTGCCCTCAAACATCAAACCACAAAGTGTAGACTGAGAAGATAAGTCTCCGTCCCAAGCCTTAATCCAAATGGCCCTACAGGCAGAGTTCAAAAGAGCGATGGCTCTGGCAGTGGCTCTAAAACCTTCTGCCGCCACATCTACTATAAAAAGCTACCAATTTAGAAATAAGGGGCAGAGCCTCCCTAACCTGGGCCATAAGCATATCTGCACAACGTCATCCAACTTGTCAACCCAAAGATCTAGGTTTCTGGCGAGACAAGTGGAGGCTAAAGCTTGTCCAAGGGCAAAAGCCAAAGCATCCCAGGCCTTTTTAATAGGGATTCAGCTTTTCTATCCATCTGGTCCTTAATAACTCCAGCGTCTTCAAAGGACAATCAGCATCTTTGGAAACCTGTGAAAGAGGGACATTCAGCCTAGGACATTTAAAGAAGATTTTCTCCTCAGAGCCAAACAGAAACCTCGGTTTATGCACTCTGGAAAGAAACTAGATCTTTCCACTCTAAGGATCATATCTCTTAAGGGATTTGTGTACTGGAAAAATTCTATTCTTTCTTTCTTTCCTGCAGACCCCTATATATCATATCCTGAACAGACTGAGGGGTATTTCCTCCTCAATCTGTTTGGAAGTATAAATCCCTAGAGCCCTAGGAAGAAAAAAGCAAGAGAGAGTACACCACAGTATATTGGCCCTTCTCATTTGTCCTCCCCTATCCCCCTCAACCTCCCTACTACAGGTGCCAGAAATCCCTACCTCAGCTCTGAATCCATCAGAGGAGGTGCCTGGCTGAGTGACCGTCCTAGGCTTGGAGGGCATCCGATTTTGGCTCCGCAACCTCTCCTCCTTTGAGAAGATGAGGGCCTCCGTGCTGCAGGACACAGGATTTCTGAGGCCACAGCCGCTCACTACCAAGTCCAGCACTCTGTGTCTCTAAAGCCTTCTTGTATTTTAAAAAATGGCACCTCAGCTTGGACTAGAGGGCCAGAAGTGCATCACCGCTCCACACCGGAAGTGCTGGCACCACCATCTTGGTATACCGCTCAGCAACAGAAGTGCCAGCGCCGCTATCTTGGAACCCCCCAGCCACCAGAAGTGACGCCATCTTGGAGGGACCCAGGAGAGGAACCACATGGTCCAGACACAGGCAAGCCAGGACAGAAGGGCAGCTCACCCCCACCCAGTTCCTGCAGACCTCCCCCCCACTCCGATTCATCGTACAATGAAAGGGCCAAAAAAGGATCTTCTGGAGTTGGTCCTCAAGCTAGAAGGCAGGAGCAAGATCCAGGTAGCACAAAAAATGAAGATCTCCTTTGGTGTGACTGTACAGAATCATCCCCTGTGACACTACCCACAGGCAGGACTCCCAGGACAAGAGAGGAAAGGCAGGAAATGACAATTACCCACACCAACAGAAAAACAAAAAACCTAGGGATGTGACCTAGAAGTCAGAAACACAATAATACTGAGGACGAGGGGGAGGGAGAGCCTTTTAAATTGTGTCACTATTGTGTTTACTGTAGGGGAGGAGCCAGTATCTCTCATAACCGTCCTGGAAGACACTTTGGGACATTTTTTATTTTATTTAAAACTTTTTTTTTTTATCAACTTGGTAATATGCATGACAGGTCCTCTTTATGGAGAGAGCTGCTGGGGTCTATTAGACCCCAGATGTCTCCTTTGCCCTCTAAAGCATCTGAGCAAACTGAGATCGGTTTGATCAGGTGCTAATATAAGCCGGTAACGGCTTGTAAACAAAGAGCCAAATCTCACAGAGAGGGAGGAACAATGTCAGTTCCTTTCCCCCTGTGCATTGCAGCCAGCGCTGACCGTTGGAGCACTCTCGGGCTCTCTTATGGGACAGGCGAGCCCAGGAAAGGGGGGCACCCCCTTCCACCGCCTGTAGAAGTGATCAAGGGGGCTGTATAGCCACTCAAATCACTTCTACAATAAAGAACATTGCTAGCTGAAAATTTTGATACTAGGATGATGCCTGTAGCTGCAGTCATCATCCCAGTATCACCACTTAACCGCTTCTCACTGGGTTGACATCATATGACATCTTGGAGTCTAAGAGTAATGTCATAAGTGTGCAACTCATTTCATTGACATACAGGCCAAATGCACTTGTCAAATTATGAATCTCAGCAGCATCTCAAGCTGAAGCCATGATGATAAACAGCGACCCAAATGTTTTCACTCAAAATGCAAACATTTTTCTATTTAAATCCCATGTGAAAAAAATGTGTGAACACTGACTGAAATAATTGATAGATAGATAGAACCCTAAAAGTTATAAAAGAGTTCTTAATGTAAAACTGGAATTCTAGTTTTGGTAGAGTGAAAAGATTTCTAGCAACCATTACTCTGTAACTTTGGTGTGGAGGCCTTTCAACACATTGACAGGATAATGCAGAAGCTGTCAACAAGTATAGAGGTAGTACTGGGCTTACTTATTAGAACACCCAGCATGCTCTAAAACACTGTATTGTGGAAGCAACTTGTATTTAAATGTTTATATGTTAAATACGGATTTCTTACAAATATGTAGAGAGGGAAAAGTAAAACAAAACTGACCAATTACAGTAGTTTACCTTTAGTTAAATTTAGTTCACTAAATTTAAGACATGTTTTAATAAAATGTTTTCCATACATAATCTCGTCAGTAATAAGTAAGGGAAATGTAAGACTATATATTTTTAACTGTGCATTATCTGCTGTTTGACAGGTCTTTACAGCATTAAAGACAAACTCCATGCATGTTCCCTATAGAAACTCCAAACTCACCCATCTCCTGCAACCATCTCTTAGTGGCCACGCCAAGGTACAATATCTCAGATATTATTTGGCACTGCAAATGAGTAATACATTTTCAATTTTACATTTTGTACTTACTGCTACCACTTTTTTTTTTTGTTTTTTTTTAGGCTTGTGTTTTTTGTTAACATTAGTCCTGATGTAAAAGATATTGGAGAAACAATTAGCTCTCTTCAGTTTGGCTCATCCATTCAGCAGATAGCACTTGGCAAGCCTACCCCTCATATTTTGAACGTGAAGACTGGGCAATGATAAAGCCTTATCAAGGGATGTTTACTACTTGCTAAATTATATACTTTATTTGGAAGCTAAACCACAAATAATCAATAGGTACTGTACATGTAGCTAAATGAACTACACGGGATGAGGTGATGAATCCAATAAAAGATGCTTTACCCAACATCATAAAACAGGGATATTTAGGTTTTCCTTTTTGACTGAGTGATCAGACAAAGCCTATAGTGGCAACTCTGAAATAGGGAATTGATCTATACTAGCCATGATAAACCATACATTTATTAAGAGTTAGTTATGTTTGTTTTCCCCAACCTTTTCCCCTCCCTGTTCTCCATCGCCTGATTTCTGTTTTTGGATTGGCACACTATGTACTTTGTGCACCTATTTCACAGCATGTTAAATCGCATTGTACTGGTACTTTCTGCTGATTGTTCTTGTACTCTCCAAATTAAAAGTAATAAAAATTTAAAGATTAAAAAAAAATATAGTTGCATGAACAAATCCTTAACAGTTTTAGTAAATTCATTTTCACACAAAGTGCTTGGAGTATAACTGTCAGAAAGTGTGAACCAGAGAAAGCTATATACATTGAATAATTAGTATGGTAGGAAGTATTTCAATAGTAATTTTTATTTAATGGCTTCCAGACCGACTGCCCGCACTGTACTGTGGACGGGTACCCTGTGCAGGCACAGCTACTTACTGGTACATTGTTGTCTGCAAATACACCCTGTTCCAAATTATTATGCAAATTCTATTTAAGTGTCACAAAGATTAAAATATTTTGTTTTTCAGTTTAACTCATGGATGGCATTGTGTGTCAGGGCTCTTTTGATCACTGAAAACAATCTCGGACACCTGTGATAATTAGATTGGCAGGTGGGCCCAATTTAAGGAAAAACTTCTAAATGAGAGTGTTCCACATTATTAAGCAGAGCACCATTTTCAAGCAATATGGGGAAGAAAAAGGATCTCTCTGCTACTGAAAAGAGTGAAATAGTTCAATGCCTTGGACCAGGTATGAAAACATTAGATATTTCACGAAAACTTAAGCGTGATCATCGCACTATTAAGAGATTTGTGGCTGATTCAGAGCACAGACGGTTCGTGCAGATAAAGGCACATTGAGGAAGATTTCTGCCAGATCCATGCATCGGATCAAGAGAGCAGCTGCTAAAATACCATTACATAGAAGCAAACATCAAGGTGTAGAGTCCTCCAGAGTCTTGCAACTGTGCATAAACCTATTCGGCCACCACTAACCAATGCTCACAAGCAGAAACGGCTGCATTGAGCAGAAAAATACATGAAGACTAATTTTCAAACAGTTCTATTCACTGATGAGTGCCGTGCAACCCTGGATGGTCCAGATGGATGGAGTAGTGGATGGTTGGTGGACGGCCACCCTGTTCCAACAAGGCTGCGACATCAGCAAGACGGTGGTGGAGTCATATTTTGGGAACAGAGCTGGTTGGCCACTTTAGGGTCCCCGAAGGTGTAAAGATGACCTCTGCAAAGTATGTGGAGTTTATGACTGACCACTTTCTTCCCTGCTACAGAAGGAAGAACTATGCTTTCCGTAATAAAATCATCTTTATGCATGACAATGCACCATCTCATGCTGCAAAGAATACCTCTGCATCAATGGCTGCTATGGGGACAAAAGGAGAGAAAGTCACGATTTGGCCTCCATCCTCCCCTGACCTTAATCCTATTGAGAACCTCTGGAGCATCCTCAAGCAAAAGATCTATGAGGGTGGGAGGCAGTTTACATCCAAAACAGCAGCTCTGGGAGGCTATTCTGACATCTTGCATCCATTGCACTTGTGAGTTTTTGGACAGTTTCTGCTTGAATTTGCAAGACTTGTGAAGCTGCTATCAAATAAGGGGTCCTATGTTAAAATGTAACGTGACCTGTTAAAATGTTTAAAAAGTTAAAATATTGTTAAAAGTTTAATTGAAATAGCTTTTGATTTCACGAAATATGCTGCAAACACAACAAATGACAATTTTCAGTTCTTTACAACCTATAAAGTGCTTTGAAACTTACTGTGCGTAATAATTTGGAACAGTGCATTGTTATGTTTAAAAAAAAAATACTGCTATCATTAGGAGGTTTGTTCAATAAAATTTGAATTGTACTCTTAATAGTTGATAACATGACAATTATGCTGACTGTTATTTACATCAATTATTTAGGTAAATGAGAAAAATATAATTTGCATAATAATTTGGAACAGGGTGTGTGTGTATATTGTGACAGTATGAATGGCAAGGTGATGGATGGACGCTATGTGTCACCTCGCATGAGGTCATACTTTGAAGTTTAGGTGGAGTCCACTCGGAGTTTTTGGGGTCACAATGGCAGAGGTGGTTCCGGAACGGAGTTTGTGCTCCACTGGTGACCACCAACAGGTAGTATAAATAAAGCAAGGCTGGAGCAAGGAAGTCGCTTGTGTGGCCCGGGACTCAGAGAACCATTCTGAGAGAGCTGTGCTTGGAAGTGATTGTTATACCACAAGAGACAAGGTTTGCTTATGGTTTTGTTGGTGACAGGGAGAAGCCCTTCACCAGTAAGAGAGGGAAAGCTCTATGTTTAGTTAGTGCCTGGATGGCAATGGTTTATTATGCTGGATGGCAATGGTTTATTATGCCGTTTTGTTTGTTTCTGATATTTTTTGCAAACCTGTGAATAAAAACTGACAACCAGTCAGAGTCTACCTGTTTTCCCAGGTAAGGTGAACCCCCCCACCGGAGCTAACCCATATATATATATATATATATATATATATATATATATATATACACACACACACACACACACACACATACACACACACAGAGATATATACAGAATGAGGAAAAGAAGTATTTGAACACCCTGCGATTTTGCAAGTTCTCCCACTTAGAAATCATGGAGGGGTCTGAAATTCACATTGTGGGTGCATTCCCACTCTGAGAGACAGAATTTAAAAAAAAATTCAGGAAATCACATTGTATGATTTTTAAAGAATTTAGTTGTCTTGCACTGCTGAACATAAGTATTTGAACACCTAAGAAACCGCAAGAATTCTGGCTCTCAAAGACCTGTTACTGTGCCTTTAAAAAGTCCACCTCTATTCCACTCATTAATCTAACTTAGTAGCACCTGTCTGAGCTCTTTAAAGACACCTGTCCACTCCACAGCCAGTCAGACACCAACTACTACCATGGGCAAGACCAAAGAGCTGTCAAAAGACACCACAGACAAAATTGTGGACCTCCACAAGGCTGGATAGGGCTACGGGACAATTGCAAAGCAGCTTGGTGAAAATAGATCAACTGTTGGAGCAATTGTTAGAAAATGGAAGAGGCTAAAGACGACTGTCAGTCTCCCTCGGACTGGGGCTCCATGCAAGATCTCACCTTGTGGGGTATCACTGATAAGAAAGGTGAGGAATAAGCCCAGAACTACAAGGGAGGAGCTGGTCAATGACATGAAGAGAGCTGGGACCACAGTTTCAAAGGTCACTGTTGGTAGAACACTACGCCGTCATGGTTTCAAATCATGCATTGCACTGAAGGTTCCCCTGCTCAAGTCATCACATGTCCAGGCCCGTCTGAAGTTTGCCAATGACCATCTGGATGATCCAGAGGAGGCATGGGAGAAAATCATGTGGTCAGATGAGACCAAAGTAGAACTTTTTAGTCTAAACTTCACTCGTCGTGTTTGGGAGAAAAAGAAGGATGAGTTGCATCCCAAGAACACCATCCCTACTGTGAAGCATGGGGGTGGTAACGTCATGCTTTGGGGGTACTTTTCTGCGAAGGGGACAGGATGACTGCACTGTATTAAGGAGAGGATGAATGGGGCCATTGAATGTGAGATTTTGAGCAACAACCTCCTTCCCTCAGTCAGAGCATTGAAGATGGGTCGTGGCTGGGCCTTCTAACAAACAACGACCCGAAGCACACGGCCAGGATAACCAAGGAGTGGCTCCGTAAGAAGCATATCAAGGTTCTGGAGTGGCCTAGCCAGTCTCCAGACCTAAATCCAATACAACATCTTTGGAGGGAGCTGAAACTCCGTGTTGCTCGGCGACAGCCCCGAAACCTGACAGATCTAGAGGAGATCTGTGTGGAGGAGTGGGCCAAAATCCCTGTTGCAGTGTGTGCAAACCTGGTCAAGAACTACAGGAAACGTTTGACCTCTGTAATTGCAAACAAAGGCTTCTGTACTAAATATTAACACTGATTTTTTTCAGGTGTTCACATACTTATGTTCTGCAGTGCAAGACAAATAAATTCTTTAAAAATCATACAATGTGATTTCCTGAATTTTTTTTTTAAATTCTGTCTCTCAGAGTGGGAATGCACCCACAATATGAATTTCAGACCCCTCCATGATTTCTAAGTAGGAGAACTTGCAAAATTGCAGGGTGTTCAAATACTTCTGTTCCTCACTGTGTGTGTGTATATATATATATATATATATATATATATATATACATACATATACAGTGGGGCAAAAAAGTATTTAGTCAGCCACCAATTGTGCAAGTTCTCCCACTTACAAAGATGAGAGAGGCCTGTAATTGGCATCATAGGTAGACCTCAACTATGAGAGACAAAATGAGAAAAAAAATCCAGACAATCACATTGGCTGATTTGGAAAAAATTTATTTGCAAAATATGGTGGAAAATAAGTATTTGGTCAATATCAAAAGTTCACCTCAATACTTTGTTATATATCCTTTGTTGGCAATGACAGAGGTCAAACGTTTCCTGTAAGTCTTCACAAGGTTGGCACACACTGTTGCTGGTATGTTGGCCCATTCTCCATGCAGATCTCCTCTAGAGCAGTGATGTTTTGGGGCTGTCGCTGGGCAACACGGACTTTCAACTCCCTCTAAAGGTTTTCTATGGGGTTGAGATCTGGAGACTGGCTAGGCCACTCCAGGACCTTGAAATGCTTCTTAGGAAGCCACTCTTTCGTTGCTCGGGCGGTATGTTTGGGATTATTGTCATGTTGGAAGACCCAGCCACGTTTCATCTTCAATGCCCTTGCTGATTGAAGGAGCTTTGCACTCAAAATCTCACGATACATGGCCCCATTCATTCTGACCTGTACATGGATCAGTCGTCCTGGTCCCTTTGTGGAGAAACAGCCCCAAAGCATGATGTTGCCACCCCCATGCTTCACAGTAGGTATGGTGTTCTTTGGATGCAACTCAGCATTCTCTCTCCTCCAAACACGACGAGTTTTGTTTCTACCAAACAGTTCTATTTTGGTTTCATCTGATCATATGACATTCTCCCAATCCTCTTCTGGATCATCCAAATGCTCTCTAGCAAACTTCAGACGGGCCTGGACATGTACTGGCTTAAGCAGGGGGACACGTCTGGCACTGCAGGATCTGAGTCCCTTGTGGCGTAGTGTGTTACTGATGGTAGCCTTTGTTACATTGGTCCCAGCTCTCTGCAGGTCATTCACTAGGTCCCCCCGTGTGGTCCTAGGATTTTTGCTCACCGTTTTTGTGATCATTTTGACCCCACGGGGTGAGATCTTGCGTGGAGCCCCAGATCGAGGGAGATTATCAGTGGTCATGTATGTCTACCATTTTCTAATTATTGCTCCCACAGTTGATTTGTTCACACCAAGCTGCTTGCCTATTGCAGATTCAGTCTTCCCAGCCTGGTGCAGGTCTACAATTTTGTTTCTGGTGTCCTTCGACAGCTCTTTGGTCTTCACCATAGTGGAGTTTGGAGTGTGACTGTTTGAGGTTGTGGACAGGTGTCTTTTATACTGATAACAAGTTCAAACAGCTGCCATTGATACAGGTAATGAGTGCAGGACAGAGGAGCCTCTTAAAGAAAAAGGTACAGGTCTGTGAGAGCCAGAAATCTTGCTTGTTTGTAGGTGACCAAATACTTATTTTCCACCATAATTTGCAAATAAATTCTTTCCAGATCAGCCAATGTGATTGTCTGGATTTGTTTTCTCATTTTGTCTCTCATAGTTGAGGTCTACCCATGATGCCAATTACAGGCCTCTCTCATCTTTGTAAGTGGGAGAACTTGCACAATTGGTGGCTGACTAAATACTTTTTTGTCCCACTGTATATGGCAAATGCACACAAAGAGATCTCTTAGTAAAAGCAGCACACTTTACACACATTACATCATAGTTAGGCACATATTTAACCCCTTGATTGCCCTAGATGTTAACCCCTTTCCAGTCAGTCTCATAACTACAGTGACAGTGTATAGTATTATCACTGATCACTGTATCAATGTCACTGGTGATGTCAATAGCATTTAATTAGTTCCCCTCAGCATCAGTTAGTGTCAGATTCTCTGCCGCACTATCCCACAGTCCCATTATGTCGCTGATCACTGCCATTAGTAGTATTAAAAAAAAAAAAAAAGTTCCAACACAGTGACGGAAATAAGTATTTGATCCCCTGCCGATTTTGAATGTTCACTCAGAAATGATCAGTCTAAAAATCGAATGGTAGGTGTATTGTAACACAGAGACAGAATAGCAACAAAAAATTCAAAAGAAATGCATGTCTAACAAATTATGCACTGATTTTCATGTTCATGAGGGAAATAAGTATTTGATCCCCTTCACAAAACATGACTTGGTACTTGGTGGCAAATCCCTTTGGCATTCACAGAGGTCAGACGTTTCCTGTAGTTGGCCACCAGGTTTGCACACATTTTAGGAGGGATTTTAGCCCACTCCTCTTGGCAGATCCTCTCCAAGTCATTAAGGTTTGGTGGCTGACGTTTGGCAACTTGAACTTTCAGCTCCCTCTACAGATTTTCAATCGGATTAGGGTCTGGAGATGGGCTAGGCCACTCCAGGACCTTAATGTGCTTCTTCTTGAACCACTCCTTTGTTGCCTTGGCCGTGTGTCTTGGATCATTGTCATGCTGGAACACCCATTCATGACCCATTTTCAATGCCCTGGCTGAGGGAAAAAGGTTCTCGCCCAAGATTTGACGGTGCATTGCCCCGTCCATTGTCCCTTTGATGCAGTGCAGTTGTCCTGTCCCCTTAGCAAAAAAACACCCCCAAAGCAGAATGTTTCGACCACCATGTTTGACAGTTGGGATGGTGTTCTTGGGGTCATAGGCAGCATTCCTTCTCCTTCAAACACGTTACGTTGATGCCAAAGAGCTCGATTTTGGTCTCATCTGACCACAACACTTTCAACCAGTCCTCCTCTGCATTATTCAGATGTTCAGTGGCATACTTCAAACGGGCCTGGACATGTGCTTTCTTGAGCAAAGGGACCTTGCGGGCACTGCAGGATTTCAATCATTGTCGGCGTAGTGTGTTATCAATTGTTTTCTTGGTGACTGTGGTCCCAGCTGCCTGGAGATCATTAACAAGATCCTCACGTGTAGTTCTGGAATGATTCCTCACTGTTCTCATGATCACTGACACTCCACGCGGTGAGATCTTGCACAGTGCACCAGACCTAGGGAGACTGACCGTAGTTTTGTGTTTCTTCCATATGCGAATGATTGCACCAACTGTTGTCACCTTCTCATCAAGCTGCTTGGCGATAGTTTGGTAGCCAAGTCCAGCCTTGTGTAGGTCTACAATCTTGTCCCTGACATCCTTGGACAGCTCTTTGATCTTTGCCATGGTGGAGAGTTTGGAATCTGATGGTTTGATTTCTCCTGTGGACAGGTGTCTTTTATACAGGTAACAAAATGAGACTAGCAGCACTCCCTTTAGGAGACTGCTTCTAATCTCGGCTTATTACCTGTATGAAAGACTGCTGGTAGCCAGAAATCCTGCTGAATGATAGGGGGTCAAATACTTATTTCCCTCATGAACATGCAAATCAGTGCATCATTTGTTAGACATGCATTTCTTTGGAATTTTTTGTTGCTATTCTGTCTCAGTGTTACAATACACATACCATTCGATTTTTAGACTGATCATTTCTTTGCGAGTGGGCAAGCATTCAAAATCAGCAGGGGATCAAATACTTATTTCCGTCACTGTATATCCCATCGATTGTAGATGCTCTAACTTTCATGCAAACCAATCAATATACACTTTTTGGGATTTTTTTATTTTTTACCAAAGACATTTAGCAGAATACATTTTGGTCAAAATGTATGAAGACATTTGAATTTTACATTTTTTTGCATTGGGTAGGTTTTATAGCAGAAAGTAAATGTATTGTTTTTTTTTTATTTTCGTTTATATATCACAAGGAACAAACCCAGGAGGTGATCAAATACCACCAAAAGAAAGCTCTATTTGTGTGAAAGAAAATTGCCAATTAAAGTAGCATAGTGGCGAATAGCAAAACATGGCCTGGTTGTGAAGGGGGTAAAATGTTCTGGAGCTTGAGAATCTCAGCTGGTTTTTTTCCTAAACCTTTCCTATACAGAAATTTATCTGAGCAAAAACATTGGGCTGAAATAGAATTAGGAGCATACTCATTTTCTTTCTAAAATCCATATACAACTCAGAAGGCCAGTAATACTGTCTGAGCAGCATTCTCATGGAACTGTTCTATAATAGCATACATAACAGACTCCTGTACATTAGAAATAACTATGCCTCGCTGCTAAAGCTGGAAAACCTTTCCTTTATTAGGAAATTTAAGAAAATATTTATTATATCAAAAGGGTATTAGCATGTTCTGTGTCCTGTTTAATTTAAACAAGAATTAGAAGACATTTAATTAGTACAATAAAGGAACTTGTGCAATGAAAGATGGAATTCACTTGTTTAAATTGTGTGACAGGTATTCTGACAGCTATGAAAACTGTTCCCTTTGTGGCAGATACCTACTCAGTACAGACACTGTTTCCAAAAAAAAAAAAAAAAAAAAAGAAGAGCTTTTAAATAAAGACATCTACAAAGTCTGTATAAAAGTGAACACCTGCAAGCCTGCAAGTACCACGTGATCATTCTTTTTTGTAATACAGAGATGCTTCCTGTTTAGTTAGTTCCATTTAATGGAATTCTGATAAAATGAGAAGCATAAATACAGGGTTATCTTATTCCACATTTATCTCCTTAAGACATTGTCCTGTAATAGCTGGTTAAGTACACTCGTCTTTTTTAGTGCTTCAAGCCTTGAAAGATCTTCTCCAATAACCGGGAGCTCATCATTCTGTGCTGCTGTCTCCTCCTCACTGTCAGACAATGTACACAAGAGGGAATCATTTTCATAAGTGGGAAAGTAATACCTGCCAACAAACCAGAAATAGGTTACTTATATGTCATTCCACTGATATAAGTAATCTAAGAGAGAGTTTCTTTAAAGTGTATGTTACCCTAATTATTTTGTTTTCTATAGCCATCTTCACATATGTGTATTTTATAAATCAAAGTCTCTATCATGTTCATGTACTTATTCCATCTGAAGTACCTAGTTGATCCTGACAGTTACCTTTCTTCCTTGTTCTAAACTAACCATGCATGCACAGATAAGCTTATGTGCTCAATTGCATAATTTGGCTGGTCATTTAGAGTTACAGGACACTGCGCAGACTCACGGCATGTCTGTATTGGATAGATTTGTTCAGCCGCCACAGCCCCCAACCAATCACACCCTGCCTCTTGAACACACTCCCTGTTAAGCACAGTCTGCATCTTGCCTCAGGCTGAACAGACAATGGAATACAGGCACAATGCGGGTTATTTACTAAAATTGGAGAGTGCAAAATCTGGTGCAAGTCTGCATAGAAACCAATCAGCTTCCAGCTTTTATTGTCAAAGCTTAATTGAACAAGCTGAAGTTAGAAGTTGATTGACCACCATGCACAGCTGCACCAGATTCTGAGTGCACCAGTTTTAGTAATTCTACCCCAATGTGTCTGCTCAGTGTTCTGTAACCCCACCCCCCAATATCAGGAAGAAGAGTTACATGGTGAAATTATGTAACCTTATACAAAAAGGTAAGCAGCATTTCTAAAACCAACAAAAGGAGTTAGGGTGCCTGCATAGTTAAGACTATATTAGAAGGTGTCTATAACATTGTATGTTCTCAACTCCTTTAAAGAGGTCAGTTACTTGGTTCCATTTCAAAATTAAGCATCATTCAGTTCTTCAGTAAACTGGCCACATCACTGAATCAGATAAGACCTACATACAACACTACAACATACTTTTCAACATCACTATTTGGGCACTGTTGGCTTGCACCAAAAGTATTATTGCCCAAAGCTAAGTATTGGGCTATAGTTTGAATCAGGGATCTCTAAACTATGGCCCATTGGCCACATCCGCCCAGGTACAAGATTTCATCTGGCCCGCAGCTGATGTGCACAGATTGGGGATACAGATCAGTTGGTCTCTGCTGATGGGGACCCAGATGTAAGGGTGTCCATCAAAGCAACGGCTTCTCCTCCTGTCAATTCCTTGCCTTCTCTTAACTGAGGCACAAGATCTTAGCTGCTGTGCACACCACCTTTCCTGTTTGTCAGGAAGTAATCGATTGATGGATGGTCCTATGTTCCCTTTGACAGGCAGCTAGTGGATCAAGTTGGGATCCTGCTATAGGTACCCCCTGTGAAGAATGGTATAAACCCTGAGGCCTCTCTGGGAACTAACCACAAGGGTCCTTCATTTACAGGACATCTGCAGCCTTATGCAGAAATTCCTTTTGTTTTTTTCCTTTACTTCTACTCCAAATAAATATTCCTCAGCAGAGAAGACAAGGGTTAGGGGCAGGTTGGTGGATTCGTAGAACCGTGTGTTGCAGAACTAGGTAGGCAGGTGTGCAGTGTTGTCTATCACTCTAGGTACACTGATTGGTGAAAGAATCATTTTTTAGGTAGGGTGCTTTTTCACCAGTTAAGTTATAAGATACCCTCGGCCTACCTATTCCCTCACTTTTAAGGGTTCTGTTCACCTAATATACCTTTCCCTTCAGAATGCCTTCAATGATTGGTTCCCCTGGCATCCCTCTATGCTTGGGAAATTTTTCTTTAGTCTATCCATTGGGATGCTATGTTGTGAGGGCCCCCACAATTTTTCTATCTTTTAACAGAATCAGGGTATAAGGTTCCATAATGAGGAAAGGGCTGTACAGTCTAGGAACCAATCCTAAGTTTAAGAGAACAAGGCTTAGGCCTTCTCCCCTTTATTTTTGACTGGTTGGACTTAAACTTCTCTGTGGACTTCTGCTGTCCACACTTACCTAGAGGGATTTTTTTTTGTCTTGAGTGAGCCCAGTGAATTATTTTCTTCTATTGACCTAATAGCTGTTGATTTATTCTACTCTCATTTTGGTAGTGTGTTTTTTCCCACTTGTTATCTTAGTGAATTGCCTGTCTCTCCAGTTTCACTGGCAGGGGTCCAATTTTCTTTCAAGGAGGAGCCTCTCCTTGACAGTGTTTTTCCTTTTCTACTCTGAAATATCTAGTTGGTTTTGTTCATAGTGAAAGCTCCTCTGCATTTGCAGAAGTTTCCTCCCCATTTAGTTTGCTCAAGAGTTGGATTACTCATACACCTCTTAAATGCAACCCAAAGAGAGCTATCAGTGGATGTTGCCTACCCCTAAGCTGGACTGCTTTGGGTGTCCTGACTGTATGATATTTTGAATTCCAGTGTTCTTCAGTGGATAAAGAAAATATGATTTTGTTCTGTAGTATCAAGTCTACTGGGGGACATATTGGCTTTATATACTGCTTGTTCAACCAAAAACCCTGGGCTTCCAAATCCCCCAAACCTGTAGACAAGTCCTGTTTAGCATGAAGGGATACCCAAACTTTCCATATTGGGAATGTAAGCTAAACTTTGCGGACAACTGGACAGACAGCATCTCAGATGTCTGAGTACAAGAAGTGGTTTCTAAAGGTTAGACACTAGGGGGTTTATTTACTAAAGCTGGAGAGTCCAAAATCAGACTCCCTTCTGCATAGAAACCAATCAGCTTCTAACCTCAGCTTGTTCAATGAAGCTTTGGCAATGAAACCTGGAAGCTGATTGGTTTCTATGCAGAAGTGAGTCTGATTTTGCACTCTCCAGCTTTAGTAAATAAACCCCTAGAGGTCTGGTTTAAGCCCCCCAAGGCTTCATGTCTTCCAACTTTCCTGTGTCACCACACAGGTTAGCAGAGTTCCATGCAGCCCATGCAAGTCTTCTTGATCAAAGGGTTATTACCCCAGTTCCTGTAGCAGAAAGGTTTCAGGGATTTTATCCCAACCTTTTTACAGTTCTCAAAACAAAAAATGCATTAACGCAATCTTGGATCTCAAGGCTCTAAGTGTCTTCATTCAGACCAAAATAAATTTGCATGGAATCCACCAGATCCATCATAGCCTCCCTCCAGTAAGAAGACTTTCTGGCCTCTGTAGACATGAAAAACAGAAACGTGCTCCTATTTTTCCAGCACATCAATGATTCCTTCCCTTAGCTGTGGGTCCATAAACTCCCTCCCAAAGACAGGCACTATTGGGTTGGAACAAACATGTTGCATGAAGTACTGACCCAAGAAAATTAGATCTTTATGGGAATATGTATCATTGGTTTCAGAAAAATAGATAAAGTCTTGCTTTATTTCCAGCTTTCATCGCCCCAAAACTAGTCACCAGATATAATCTCTGGAGTAGTTTCCCACTCCCATCCTTCCAGAGTATCCCCATTGTGGTTTATCCATATGGCCCCCTGGAGGGAGCTTAAAAAAAGGTTCAGCTGGATCCTGAACATTCAGAAGTTAGCACTGGAGCCGACTCATCAATTGGAGTATCTGGATCTTATCCAAGGTACATCTCAAGAAAATGTTTTCTTCTCCAGGAGAAACTTAAAACTCTCCCCTCCTAGACCTGGACTCAACAGATTCTTTGCTTCTGTATGAGAGTCATGAGGTTGATGTTAACCCCCAGGGAAGTCCCATTTGCCCAGTTCCACTCAAGACCACTACAACTCAACATCGTGTTATCATGGGATGGATCAGTTCAACCTCTGGACAAATCAATGAGCCTGTCACCAAGCACCAGGTTGTCTTTGGCCTGATTGCTCACAAATTAGGAAATTCTTCCTTCAGATGTCTTGGAGGTTCCTCACAATGCACAGTCCTAGACACCTAGAATGCGGCCCTTCACATGACTCGTAAAAGCAAAATAAAATTATTTAGGCCACTCTGAGAAAAATTGGAGTGTTCCCTATGCCTGAATAGGGTTATTTACAATCACAATACTGAGAGCAAGTTTCTTGGCCAAATTAGAGCAATAGGCTTCATGAGTTTGTGCCTCTTCTGGTTGTCTGGATTAAGCAATCTTTATCAAATTACGTACAGGATACCATTAAACTGCCTTCTTAAAGATCACCTATACTTCATATTAGAAATGGGAGAAGGATCTAGTGTCAGTCATTCAAAAAAGGAAAGAACAAAACTTGTACACATTTTCATTAAGGTATAGGGTTTCCAGCTTCTATATCTCTGATATATCCTGTAACCCTGTCAGATAGTTGGAAGAGTTATGAGTAAAGGAAGAAGCTCTGTGCACTTGTGGTAGCACTACCAAGATTTTATTTTGAAGCTTGAAATGCCAATGTATACTAAAAGCACACAAGAAGACATTCCCAATGACCTCCCATCTTTTATTTAATTACACAGCTTCCTTCAAGGTAAGCAACCTGCACTACTCTACCTCCTTAATGCTACATAATACCTTATTCCACTATTCTAAAGAAGCTGCATAATATTCAGCTTGGGTCAGACAACAAACACCCTTTCTTTTACAAACCAAATGGCATCAAGTGGAAACAGGAAAAGCATTATATGGATCCCAGTGGTGATAACACAGGGAGTTAAGGAGCTCTCATGTCCAACACCACTTGGATAATACTAAACACTATAAAGGATGCCTGCCACATTATGTCTGCCCAGCTCTATGTGACAATGGAAGAGGACCAAGCACCCCCGTATATTGCGTGAAGTATAAATGGAACCCTTCAGAGTGCTCTTCACAAATGATATGCCTTCTCCTACTGATATTGGAAAATATGCAGAACGTGAAGTTAGAGTACTGATTTTACTTAAAAGTTGTATTCTGGCTTTTAAAACATATATCTGCATTACAGCCAATCAAGAAGCATTTTTTAGAATATAGTAAATGCACTCTCCATAATTCTATACAGTGTTCAGCATAAAGGAGTACACTCCAACAGATTTGTAAGAAAACCTTTACTTTCCTTTCAGAATCAACATTTTCTATGGGACACTATACTACATCATACTCTGCAATCAAAGGCCCGCATTTGTGTTAACAAGATTTGTTAATTTGCACAAAGTATTTTTACTAAAATTCATTCAAGACCATATTGCAAAAATGAATACACCCCATTGAAAGCAAACCCATTCCCATTTCATGCTGTTAGCAATGGCACCACATTGAAGAGAAATGTGACAAGGCCAGAGAAAAAAAATAATTTCTTTACACAAGAAAGTTTAAGGCTACAAGAAGATCAAAAAGCTTTACTTATCAGTCACAATACTGTAACAAAAGTGATACAAACATTTAACAAAGATGGAACTGCAACCATCTCACAGAGACGTCCAGGACATCCACAAATGTTAACTCCTCAGCAGGAGCATTTTCTGATGAGAAGGGGGGAAGAAAATCACCATGCAAGTTCACTGCAGTTAGATAAAGAAGTAGAAAGCCAAATTGGGGTGTTTATTTCCCGTTACACAATAAGGCATACACAACAGAGGAATTGCATGCATGGGTGTCGTCAACAAAGGAAGCCTCTCCTAAAGCCCATACACAAAAAAAGCCCGCCTAGAATTTGCCAGGGCCCATGTTAAAAAATAACATGACTACTGAAACTCTGCACTCTGGAGTGATGAGTCCAAGATAAATGTTTTTGGAACTGATGGCTTCAAAACTGTATGGCATTGGAAAGGTGAGGAGTACAAAGAAAAATGCATGGTGCCTACAGAGAAACATGGTGGTGGCAGTGTCCTTCTGTGGAGCTACATGAGTGGTGCTGGTGTCAGGGAACTGTATTTCATTGATGGTATCATGAATTCACAAATGAAAGAAGATGCCACCATCACTCCGCACCCTTGTTCGTCGCGCACTTTTCCAACATGACAATGATCCAAACACTCATCTAAGGCCACTGCTGCATTTCTGAAGAACAGGGTGAACGTGATTCAGTGGCCAAGTAGTAATTGTTTTGGAAGAACAAGGAAAATTTACTTTTTAGGCATTTAACTAGACAATTATCTTAAAATTCAATATTTTATTCCAAAGATCAAAACATAAAAACAAAATCAAGATATTACATTCTCATTAAAAATTCACAACCAGATCACGACGAGAAGCCGAGCTCATTTCTTTGAAATGGCTGGTGACGCAGCGTAGTGGTTGGATGTCAATGAAGCCTCCCTCAAGATGCCACATCAAGATGCTGTAGGCTGATCATCTACTCTTATTGTGTTGAAGTTATTTTTTCTCCCCTCTCCATTACCTGCCTGGTGATGGATGGGAGCTATATATATTTGCTATTCCATAGTTTTTTTTTTTCATGCCAAGGGAACCTATCCTACTGCTTTTCACTTTGGGATTTGTATACATGGATGACCGCTCCCCTGTATTCCAATAGCTTGGGGAAGCAGATTTTTCTGCGATTGTGCATTGCATGGTCCTCCCAGCACCTACAGTTAGGCAGGGAGGACTGGTCTTTTTTGGGGTGGCTGACAGGCTCAGCCTGGTCACTCCTGTTGGTTAATTTCTTCTCAGACCTTGATCCCAGCACAGTTGTGTTGGGGTCTGTTTTCTAATGTTTTTATCTCTGTTTTTATTGACAGATAACACTGTGCACAAACAGACTATTGGGACAGATGGAGTATATCATATTCTAAAGTAATAGTACTTCGCTTTTCCCTGCATAGGCTATTATGGGTTTATGGATGATGCGGGTGGCCCCGTAATTTGGCAGGGGACCCCCTTCCACTAGAGGGCGCCTTGATAATGTTCTGTTTTATGATGGCTAATGTACCCATTGTGTCCTGGAATGTTAGGGGGTTGCATGATCCTCTGAAGTGCTCCATGGTCAGTGCATCCCTGCGCAAGTACCACCCAGGGATAGAAGGGCTGCAGAAGATGCACCTGACCGGGGACACGCTGAAATTTATTGAGTATGGTTGGGTCGGTTGTTCTTACCACTCTACTTATGCCTCGTACTCTTGGGGGGCTGAGTTTATTGGTCCACCGATCCTTAGATTTCCAGGTGTTCTCCTCTAGTACCAAACATGAAGGTAGATTTATATTTCTGCACTGCAGGCTATATACAGTCCAATGTGTTTTGGCATCGGTATATGTACCACCTCCTTTCTCTACCCTGGTTCTGCGACAGCTTGTAAACTTTTTGTTGAATAAACTGGACCTTCCTCGTTTTGTCATGGGTGACCTTCCTGGGGTAGTCCACCCTCAACTGGATAGACATCCACCTGTGGCCATGGGACCCACTGGTAGGGGCACCCTGCTGGCATGCTTCATTGTCAAGGTGGGATGGTTAGACATCTGGAGAGCAAGAAACCCTCTTCGCATTGAATTCTCCTGTTTTTCTAAGACGCATACTACCCTATCCAGAATTGATCTATGTTTGGGAACGATCCAGTCCAACACCTTGATTCATGACATCAGCTATGCGCTTAGGGGTATCTCAGATCATTCTTCCTTAGTTGTAGTGCTAAATGTTAAACCCATCACCTTCCTTATGTAGATCACCTTGGAAAATGAATGCATTTTGGCTGCACTTAACGTGTTACTAAACCCAAGACCCTGCATTCACTATATCTGGTCTCCCACAGTACACACATGGAAATGCGATTATTTTAGCAAATATAAACTGCTAAATACCTTTTCTCATCAGCAGTTAGAGCAGTCTTGTGACTTCAGCTGAGCACTGGTTAAAGCTTGTGGAAGGAGCTTTATCTAGGAGGATGGAAATCCCCTGACCTCTGTCTGGACAGTGCTGATTGGCATGTGCTAATCACATGCACTCTCCCAAGGAAAAAAAAAAAAAAAAAAAAACCTCTCTAGAATACACTCTAAACCTCTAAACTGAGCATGTGCAGAAGGGCACAGTTCAGTGTCTTATTAGCCTGGGCATTTGAACAAAAGGAGGGGCAGAAAAGAAAATGCAAAGGATTAACCCCTTAGGTTCCACAGTGAGTATAACAAGCATGCTTTACTGCATATACAGACTGATTTTACTGTTGTGGATTTAGCAACAAATTCCTTCCCACACTATCATCCTAACCCGCATTACCAGATTTTTCGTAGATAACGCATACCACCACTGGATGCTTTTAAAATGTTGGCTCCCGGGTATCTTTTTTTAGAGGAAATTACGGCAATTAAAAACTCAAGTAAATGCCAGGAAGAGCAGCTATCGTAGCTAGTGGACAGAAAGGAGTGGGACTATCTTTCAGACCCTTCAGAGGCCTCTAGGGCAGCTTGGATCTCAGCGCAGGAAGCTTAACTGAGTGTGATATGCTTGGTGGGGGAGAAAAAATGTTTTTACGCCAGACGTTTTATGAGGAGAGGAAAAAGACGGCCACCTTCTGGGTAAACTTGTCAGGGCAAAGTCTACCACTCCTGCGATCAATGTAATTTGCTCTCAATCTGGTACTCTACTAAATACTCCTGATGGGGTGATGGCGGAATTGGTATAGTTTTTATTCCACCCTGTACCAATCTAAGGTTTCTTGTACCCCCGATGAACTGCAGACCTGAGTACTGTACAGTGTGTATTAGACAGTTGTGGCAGGTGCAAAGGACACTACTTGACTCACCTCTCACTACTGAGGAAGTCCAGGAGGTGGTGGCTTCCTTCCCGACCTCAAAAGGCACCTGGAGCAAATGAACTTCCTATGAAAGTATACTCACAATATGACGACTCTGTGCTGCCCCACTTGCTTACAACATTCAACAATGTGTTCTGTCTTGGGAAAGTGCCAGACTCTATGGCTCAAGTCACTATATTATTCTGCTAAAACCCCAACTATTGCCAATTCATACAGGCCAATTTCTCTATTGCAGACAGATATAAAAATCCTTGCTAAAATATTAGCCGGAAGACTAAACAAAGTTATTGCTAGTGTCATACACTCTGATCAGGCAAGCTTCATGCCTCACAAATCTACTGTCATAAACCTTCGCAGACTCTTCCTGAACATGCAACTCCCTCTGACAACATGAGATCGAGAGTCTTGTTATCATTAAATGCCAACAAGGCGTTTGACGGTGTTGAGTAGCGGTACCTCTGGGAGGCTTTGAAGTGCTTTGGCTTTGAAGATACCTTTACTTCATGGGTGCAGTTGCTCTACTACACACTAAGACTGTAATTCATATGGGTAATCTGGTGTCCAATTCGTTCTCCCTGGGACAGGGCACTCAAAGCTGCCACCTATCGCCCTGTTTGCCCTGGCAATAGAGCCATTGGCTGCCTGTATTCTGGTCTCTATGTCCATTTGTGGCTTTCAATATCGTGAAATATGCGATAAACTACTATTATACGCTAATGCCATACTGATTATATTAGAATACTCTTCCTCCAGCTTACAAACCGTGATGGATGTTATTGGCAAATTTGGCCGGTATTCAGGCTTAACCGTTAACTGGTCCAAGTTGGCCCTTGATGACCAACTCACCCCAACTCTTCCACCAGGGTGCCCGGTACCTATAATCTTTAGTTTTAAATACTTTGGCATCGTGACCTTCAGAACAGTCACTGAGTTTCCGGGGCTAAATATTAATCCGCTTCTTAAACATTTTTGAGATGAAATACAGATATGGTGGAAACTGCGGATCTCTTTAATAGGCAGGGCCAACTTGGTTAAAAATTATACTTAAGCCTCAATTACTCTACTACGCAATTCCTCACTGGTAATTCCTCATAAAACTTTTTGCACTGTTAACTCTCTTTTCTGCTCCCTTTTATGGAAGCGAGGCCCTTCAAGGATTAAGCTAGAACAACTCCAGCATAATAAAATGGCAGAAGGTATTGCATTTCCATACCCATGGCTCTATGATATGTCTACTCAACTGCAACATATGGTGAGCGGTATGACCCCCCCCCCCCTGCTGTTACTGCTCGATTCCACTATGATACTACCCTAGCTGTGGCCCTTCGTTTTGTTAACACACCATCTCTAACCAAAGGGCTGGAGTCGCAATCCTTTGCTAAACCAAAATAGGTCTTTTCTCACTTATAGGCTGATGGATACAATTTGGCACAAAACCAAACAACTCCAGGCGGTAGCAGGATATACCTGCTTTAGTACTCTCTGACACAATCCCACGTACCCTGAACTAGCTAAGCTCCAATATGTATCCAAGTGGCAGGCATATGGCATCACCCATATGAAACAGGTTTTTGATAATGGCAAATTGTTACCCTTTGCAGATTTGAAATCTAAATTTAATCTCCCTCTGCAGATGCATTTTTATTATCTACATTTAAGACATGAGGTAATGGCCCAGCGGTTTTTCCTGACTTCTGCCTCTCCCCCACTCCCGTGTTTCAATTGAGTCAACAGGTATCCTCCACTAAGGGGTTTATCTCGAATTGCTACCAACATCTCCTGGGACCCGATTTGGATAATTACCCTTGCAGGGCATGGATGCCGGATGTGGGGGAACTGATTGGAAAACAATGGGAGGAGGCTATTTGCTGCAGTTCTTTGAATGTGGCGCAGCGCCTCTCACAGCTGTACCTACTGCTTACAGAGTACATTATACCCCCTTTAAAATGCACAGGATGGGTTTACTGGCTAATCCCCTTTATCCTAGGTGTCGAAGGGACTATGGCCTAGCTCCAGTGGAGTTGGTGCTGCCTCGCTTGTTAGGATAAGATTAGGTTTAGTGGTGGGGCTCTCTCCCTAGGACAGATCCAATTTGATATAGAATATGAGTGGTCATAATACTGTTCTAGTTATGATGCTTTTTCTGGTTTTGCCCTGTTCACTTACCAATGGGTGGTGGGGATGTTGTATAATTTACTGCTTACCACTTTATAATATGTTTGTATGATTTCTAAGAATCTGTACACCAATGCTGATTACCATATTTACTGTATGATGTTTTCGTGACACAGGTATTTTGGAAAATGTTTCTATGTTCTGTTCAATAAACTATGTTTGGATAAGAAAAAAAAAAAAAAAAAAAAAAATACAACCAAATCATTACATTGGTATTGTACTTTTCCTGTGGTATGCAGCTTCCTGCCCAAAGAAGGAATATTATGTGACTAACATGCTCCACAAAGTTTCATATAATTTGGTGTACCGCAACCTACAAATACAGCCCTCAGCTCAACATGTTCACACGAAGTGCTTCATCAGGAGATTTAGTATAATATAATAACAAAATACAGAGAGATTAATTGTATTATAATAGAAATATGAAGTTTTTTTGTTGAAAGAACATAATTCTATTAAGAATAGTATTTTACTTACAGTATACCAATGTGAACACACAGTATAAGAAGTAGATAAACAGGTCTGCGGTATGTCCTAAATTGGAATGCGGGGGCAGATCAATAAAGCAACCGCCATGAAAGTGTGAGCCGAACAAGAGGGCCAAAAGATATTTAGACTTTAAACAGGTTAATATACCACTGTGATATCCCAAACTATTCACTGGAACGCAGTCTAAATGGTATATATCTCTTTATCCATACCAATAAATATCCAACACTGTGAACAAAGACGCTTGCCTAGGCTTTCAGCCTCAAAGCTTTGGGTGTGAGATTCCCGGGACTTCCGCTTCCTCCATTTGGCAGGGCTGGAGTGCGTATGTGCGGGCAGAGGGTTCGCGCAGGCGTGGTGTTTGCTGCTGGGCTGGATGACGTCAATGCCGGCACCATGCGGGTGTGTTGTTTCCGGTTGGGGCACATATATGAAAGGACTGTGGAGGGGAATGCAGGGTGGAGCAGCAGCGGGAGACGGCGATGTGGAGAGGCATGTCCCACTAATAACAGTGAAGAGGTAAGCAACCAGCCATAGATCTATATGGGCTTTCTATGCTCAATCCAAACCTTAATGACATTTAACCGATGTCTTAGATGGATGCCCACATCTGTAGCCCAATATGAAGGGGACCATGTGGCAATAAGACTAAATGGATATATTTCTTTGAAGAGTATATTAAACGCGGATTGTACACATATCTATTAGAACTATTCAACATCCTTGTTGAATCCATGTTATTATTGTACACATAGGCTGAAAATGCAAGTTTGGGAATACTTCTACATATCCCTATGGTGAGTGTTGGAACTGGGGACACATTTCGTTAAGTAAACAGTAAATAGTGGGCCTTAGACAGTGGTCAGAAGTGGATACACTTATGGGTTCTGATACCAATTAGCATTCTAGGGGTAGTGATTGTGAGCTTCTCTTCTTTATTCACAGTGTTGGATATTTATTGGTTTGGATGAAGAGATATATACTATTTACACTGTGTTCCAGTGAATCATTTTGATTATTACAGGGATATGAACTGGTTTAGGGCTAAATGTCTTTTGGCCCTCTTGTTCGACTCAGTTTCTTGGCGGTTGCTTTATAGATGTGCCCCCGCATATGAGTTTAGGACATGCCGCTGACCTGACTATCTACCTCTTATACTGTATGTCTACATTGGTATACTATAAGTAAAATACTATGCTTAATAGAGTTATGTTCTTTCAACAAAAAAAACTTTGCTTGTATGGATATTATACTAAAGCTCCTGAAAAAGCACTATGTGAAAAACATGTTGAGCTGAAGGTTGTACTTGTAGGTTGCGGTTCCACCAAATTATATGATACCTTGTGGAGTGTGTTAGTCACGTAATATTCCTACCCTGGGCAGGAAGCTGCATACTGCAGGAAAAGTACAATACCAATGTGATGATTTGGTTGTGATTTTTTAATGAGAATGTAATATCGTCATTCTGTTTTTTTAATGGTTTTGATCTTTGGAATAAAATACTGAATAGCAAGATAATGGTCTAGCTAAATGACTAAAAACGTCAATTTTCCTTGTTCTTCCAAAACAATTACCATATGACCAAGCACCCAGGCTCTAAAAGAGGTAATTCTTGAAGAATGGAAAAAGATTGATGTTGCAATATGTCGCCAACTTCGTCATTCGTTGCCTAAAAGACTTGGTGCTGTCCTTAAAAATCATGGAGGTCATACAAAATACTAGATGTAGTAGTTTTTATTGTGGGGTGTATTCATTTTTGCATCAACTAATTGAGTAAAACTGAAGATTTTTTGCAATCTAAGTTATATTATTAATCTTACTTTCATGTAATGAGCTAAACAAATGTTCTATAAAACTTAGGTTTGTGAAAAATTTGGAAAGTGGTCTTGTGTTCACTGAGATATTGATTAAAATCTTACTTTTCAAAAGATGTGAACTCATTTATGCTGAACACTGCAAGTAGAGACTTCCTTTAACTGCTTTCCCCGCCGCCCTATAGCAGAAATACTGCTACAGGGTGGCAGGGGTGTGCAAAATCACACACACACACACACACACACACACGATTTTCCATTTCCGGGTAGGGGGCACGCGTGAGCCCTACATGTGCCGCAATGGTGGCCTCACCTATCGATCATTGGGTCCAGGCTGGGGATTTCCCGCCGGCCGGAACCCGGTGATTACCAACAAGGGAGAGACCTGTATGTAAACAATACAGATCTCTCCCCGTCAGCTCCTGCACATTGCTTTGTATTGCTCTGCATAACAGAGCAATACAAAGCAATGTACTTACACAGTAAAGCACACACACAGCATACAGTAAAACACAACACAGCACACAGTTAACCCTTTGATCGTCCCAGATGTTAACCCCTTCCTGTCCAGTGCCATTAGTACAGGGTCAGTGCTTTTTATTAGCCCTGATCACTGTATTGGTGTCACTGGGGATGTCAGTGACAATTAGTCAGTTCCCCCAATGTCAGAATGCCCGCCGCAGTCTCACAGTCCCGCTCTAAGTTGCTGATCGTTGCCATTACTAGTATAAAAAAAAAGAAATTCCAGTATCTATACCGCCATTTGTAGACTCTATAACTTTCATGTAAACCAATTAATTTACACGTATTGGGATTTTTTTCCTTTTAGCAAAGACATGTAGCAGAATACATTTTGGCCTAAATTTTATGATGAAATTTGTTTTTCAATTTTTTTTACTGGACATGCTTAATAGCAAAAAGTCAAAAATATTGTTTTCTTTTTCTCATAATTGTCTTTCTTTTATAGCGCAAAAAATAAATGCACAGGCAATCAAATACCACTGAAAGAGAGCTCTATTTGTGGGAAAAAGGAACATAAATTTAATTTGGGTGCAATGTTGAATGACCGCACAATAGTCAGTTAAAGTAACACAGCGCTGTATCGCACAAAATGGCCTGGTCAGGAAGGGGGGTAAATCCTCTGGAAGGCAAGTGGTTAAAATAGCAGTTATCACTGACGGGGATCTTAAAAACATGACCTTGTTGGAAATATTGAAAAATAGATTTGAGAAATGATGCCTTTTGATATCTGAACAGTTGCTACGAATGCTGTGTCTTGAATGCTTACTGTGGCTGATCCCATACAGATCTCTCAGGAAGAACACTTATATGACTGTATTTTTCCATGTGAGTTATTAATTCTCTTTTCGACTGAAATTTCTCTTGACAGCCATGACATCGACACTGATGGATTTGCCTTCTAATAAAATTCACCAATTTAACTTGCTGATAGAATTTCAGTCCTGTCAAACAGAAAACAATACAAACCAGTGAGAAAAGTAGTTCTTGCATTGCTAGAGGTCAGTTAAGCAGATCAAGAACAGTCACAAATGATATCAATGTAAATGGAATGCATTTATCACGTTGCATTTAGTACAACTTGTCAGTTCTTCAGTTCTGCTTGAATTCTCTCATACATTTCAGTTACAGGAAATAGGGCAACTTTATTTCTTTGAGAATTGCTTAATATCAGATTATAGTACGCTAGGAACATTATTATAATGGCTAGTTCACAGCACAAAATTGCACTCCGAATGCGTTCCAGATGCCTTTTTGCTTACAGTTCACACCACACTCCATTCCGGTACTTTTTTTATGCATTTTGCGGTGTTCCAGTAAAGTTCTGTGTAGAAAAAAAATTCAGCATGTTCTACTTTTTTTCTGCACCAGAACACACTGCAACTGACTGCACTTGTGTGAACTAGGGCCATTGGAATACATGGAAAAGACTGTGCATGCATTTTTGATGCAGAAAAAGCATGCACTGGACTGCATCTGGTGTGAACCAGCCCAAAAAAAAAAAAAAAAAAAAAAAAAAAAAAAAAAAAAAGTGAGCGATGAACTAATCCACAGAATGCAAACAAATAGTAATTTTGTATAGCTTGCTCATTAGGTAAACTGGATAAACAAAAATATAAAGAAACATATGAAAGAGAAAGCAAAATAATTGGCAAAGCGTTGAATACAAAGTCTGCAGCTGCCTTGGTGTAATCAATCGATACAGAACATGACTATGCCAATTTCGGATTTAAGTGATTAAAACAGTGTTACAGGTATTAGTGAACAGACTTATCATAAGCTGCCCCGATGTCCTTGACTACATTTTTCCTAGACTAGACTCACACAAACTCATGTGCTAGTGAGTCAGCAAAGACCATATTTGTTGAAAAGAGCGATGGGTAAAAACTATGAAAAGAAGAAAAAACTATAAAACTTGCCTCTGGAGCTCTATGTTTATAGGACAGTCATAGGAGATCCTTATAAGCAAGCTTCTCAACATGTATAATTATGTTGTAATTTGGAGAACAGATTTGCCATGAATTCCTGGTTTTTCAAGTACTTGGGTATTAATGCTTTGGAAGCATTATGAAGGCAAGCAGTAGGTTTTCTAAACACAGGCATAAAGACATATTTGTATATTTACGGACTATGTCAATCGCACAGTATACAAAGGGGACGTTTTTCCTACTATTTACGGAGTGGAGCCTTTTATAAAGAGAATTTATTGCCCCCAACTGGTACTTTCTCTAAGACATGAGCCAAGAAGTTATCTAAAAGCATACAATTTTTTCATCCAATATGAAACAACAAAAAGGCCAACCTTCTTCCTAATAGGACTGAGATTCATTGAGAGATGCATGCATTTATGGATTATTTCCATATATTGCTGGGCAGCACAGTGGCTAAATGGTTAGCACTTTCGCCTGACAGTACTCGGGTCATTGGTTCGAATCCTAGCCATGGCACCACCAGCCTGGAGTTCATGTTCTCCTAGCCTGCGTGGTTTCCTCCAGACACTCCGGTTTCCCTCCCACACTCCAAAGACCTGGTAGGTTAATTGGACCCTGTCTAAATTGTCCCTAGTATGTGTATGTATGAATGTGAGTTAGGGACCAAAGATTGTACACTTGAGGATAGGGACTGATGTACACTACTCCTGGTTTGACGGCTCTAATTAATACCTTGAAATAATCAAAAGAAAGTACCATTTACCATGCAGCCAAGGCCCAATGAGGTAGAAATGGAAATATGCTGTAGTAATCCCTATCCTAACAGCTGACCCTGTCTAAATTGTACCCAAAAATAGTAAGCGCTAAAAAACATGAACCCTAAACACACATAGTGAAAGTGAAAACCATAACTCATAAAAAAATAAATTATTCCGTGACATATAAAAATATCAATAAACCAAATATATAAGGAAAAAACTTTTCCTTGCCCTTAACCTTGTACAAAATCAACATTGAAAAAATAAAAAGGTAAAAAATCCTAATATTGCGAATAAACAGTGATGTGAATTACACATATATAATATATTTGTGATTATTTCTAATAAAACAACCTAAAAATAAAAAACTTATCCAAATGCTTTAAGAAATGTACCAATTGTGCCCATATATAGGGTATTACATAATAAAATCAAAAACTTTGATATTCTTTATGAAAAAAGTGAAATGAAGTCCTGATGCAGTGGTGGAAGAAATCAGTATTTTCAGGTTTTACTTCACCTTGGCCAGCAAAGCCTGCTACCTCTTTATGAGGAAATGTGACCAAGGCAATATCTCCTCCAGAAATGGTAGTGAAATCCTCATAAGGAATCACAGGACCTCCTCTAAAACGTCTTTATGGACACAAACAGAGCTTCCCATAGTGTAATACCATTTGTTTATTTAAGACACTCCAATAAAAACTGTTTTCATCACATCCTAAATGAAGTAAAAATGCATATTTTGTGCATACATGTATTATTTCATATGGCTTGCATGACATCCGTCCCACCACGTAGACCGGAAATTGATGATTTACAAAATTGGGAAGAGAGACTGCAAAATCAGGTGCAAGCATGAATTTAGAAGTTGATTGGCTACAATGCACATCAGATTTTTACCAAACTCTTCAGTTTTAGTAAATGAACCCCAGTGATTCATCAATTCATATTTTCATCCCACCAATAAACGTGTTTAAGGTTAGTTTTTAGGCAAACTGGTTATTGTCCTATATGAATACAAAACTATTTATGTTTACATTTTAGATTAGCATTTTTTTTAGGTTCCTTGATTTGCTAAAGGCAAATTCACTGTGCACTTTTGCAAGTGGAATTGCATTCCTTTTCACGAGAGCTTAGTATATATGGTGAAGCTTTGGGTGTTCTTTACAAAGCTTCATTTTACAAAGAATACCCAATAATGTGCAAGGAAAAACAAAAAAAAACAGCATTTTTGCTTGCACATGATTGGATGATGGAAATCAACACAACGCCACCTCATTCACTAAGATGGAGAAAAAAAGTGCAACAAAATCAACCCCAGTGATTCAAACAAAATACTTTTTACATCCCTTAACCATGTACAGGAATGTCACAAAAGGGTTGCTCTCCTCTCGTGTTTAAGAAACAGAAAACCTTTTTTGTGTGATCCACAGATTTAATTCCTAGGGACTTGCTAGAAACCCTGAATGTTATTGATAGACATATTTAAGTGTTGTTGCGGGTAACAGGATGTGAGAAAAGCCAGAGCTGCCTATTAGTGCAGTAGAGAAGCAATAGTTCACATTTATTAAAGCTATAACTGAATGTCAGGTTCAAATATAAATATAATAACTCAATTATTCTATTAAGATCCAACTCATTCATACTTATGTTAGTACTGTTAATAAGAAGATATTAGATATTAGGTTAAGGAAAGCTTCTAACACTTAGAATATGGAAAATTCAACAGTTAAATGTAACAGAAAGCTCTGGATTTGTGGTGGTAAGGAAATGTTCTTTTTGTTTTTACTTTGCACAATATTTTGTTTAGTTAACTTGATGGAATATGTTAAAGGTTGTTTAATAATTTTGGTATGAACTGCATATCACAGGCAGCCAGAACTATGATACAGAATGCTAAACTGTACCATCCAGTAAAGAGGTGTTTTTTCTACTGTAGGATGAGATACTGGATAATGCAACTTTCACTTGCCCAAGTAGGATTTCAAAGGTCCAGGTGGATGGCAAGGTGCCAGTCACCTTAGATCCTGAAATTGCGCATCCCCAGATGGTGTATGAAAAATGGCAGTGTGTCCTAGGTTAATAAACAGCACCCTGCACTCTACCTATGCCACCACTATCAGGCTGTGATCTCCTGTCCAACGCTACCTGCTTAGTTATGGCAGTGACATCAACCAGCCAGTAAAAGAGCAGAGTAGTACATGGAACCTATACAGTATATGCTGTAGGTAAATAAACAGTGAACACGAACGCTAGAGGTTTTTGAACATCAATGCTGGGGCATGTTTTACTCCAATTGATCACCAATGCCAGGGGATCATTTTCAGCTTTCATGTATAAAAGTGTCAAACAACAACAAAGAAAAATTCCTAGCTCAGCTTATCCACCAGCCTGCAACCAACCAAATTGTCCTGTCTAACAGTTCACATTAAAAAACAGGGGTTTAGTTTGCACACATTTGCAAATACACGTGTATGCTGCAGAGCCTCCTCATGGCACCCCAGTATTCTGCAGTTCCTAACTCTAAAAAAGTTTGAAAGCCTCCATGTCTAACAATGGATATTTTGAGGGCAAGTAATCCTGGAGGGAGCCCACCCCTCCTTAAAAAGGCACAGGGACACACTGCATATAGCACAAATGTCAGCAAAGGTGTCCAGTGCGTCCCCTCACCAATACACCAACAGTACAAACAGCAACTGCTCCAACCTGTAACTGGCCTTTGCAGCAAGGAGCACATGTGTTGCCGTTCCATGTGCTCCTTGCTGCAAAGGCCAGCTACAAGTTGGGGTAGTTGCTGTTTGTTTGTACTGCTGGTATATTGGTGAGGGGACGCACTGGACACCTTTGCTGCCGTTGTGCTATATTCTGGGTGTCCAGTGTGTCCCTGTGCCTTTAAGGAGGGGTGGGCTCCCTCCAGGCTTACCTAAATCTATCCATTATTATACATGTGCTTTTACTATGGAGGCTCTCAAAAGTTAGAGAGTTAGGAACTGCAGAATACTGGAGTGCCATGAACAGGCTCTACAGCTTATGCATGTATTTGCAAATGTGTGCAAACTAAACCCGTTTTTAAAGTGAACTGTTACACAGGACAACTCGGTTGGTTGCAGGCTGGTAAGTTGAGCTGGAAATTTGTCTTTATTGTTGTCTGACATGCGTCGCCCTTCCATGTGCTCCTTGCTGCAGAAGCCAGTTATAGGTTGGGTTTCTCCCCTTGTGACAGCAATAAAGATCATTAAAAAATAAAGTGTTAGAAAAAAAAAAATGAAAAAATAATAAAACTGCAAATAATTAACAAAAAAAAAAAAATCTAAAAGCACCCCTGTCACATATACATTTAAATGCAAATACTCACGTAGATCATGCACTTGTATGTAAACTGTGACTGTGCCGCACCATGAAGGCCATAATTCATGGTTAACTCTAAAACTGTAAAGGCTTTTTAAGTGCTACCCATTGACAATTTTGGATATTGTAGTTTTCACTGGAGTCCACAATTTTAAGGCTGGACATGTTTGGTATTTACTTGACACAACCTCATATTTTATACTTATTTTAGTGTTTTTTTTTCCCCTGAAAATATGAAATTGATAAACAGTTGCCCAAATATTGCGCAACATTTTATTTTACAGGGTTTCTTTCATAAAAAAAAAATGTTTGGGAGTTTAAAGTCATTTTCTACACAAATTACAGAAAAATGAAAGCATTGTACTGGTAAAAAAATTGTTAAACACCCCCTAAAATCATGGGGACATTTCAGCACACTAGTAGGTTGCAGCAAATACTTTAGGCCCCACCTTTTTTATTTGCCCTAGTCCAGGGGTTAAAATTTCGAGTCCAGACCTACTAGCCAGTCACAAAACTTACTCTCCACCAGTTGCCCCAAGCAACCTTGCCCAGGTCAGCCCCCAAACCTCGCCCCGCCCCCCCCCCCACCACGCCCCTTTAAAGCCAATGAAATTAAATTTTTCTTTAGAATAAAGAGTTCAAAATATAAAACTGTACACAGTAATGTATATCCCAGCTCCCCTGTACTCCATTATAGTGATATGACATGTATACAGTAATGTATATCCCAGCTCCCCTGTACTCCATTATAGTGATATGACATGTTGTATACAGTACTTACTCCTAGTCCCTCCGAGTCCCCCGCGGTGGTGGAGAGGGTGTCTCGTCTCAGCGGAGGAGAGCGGACCTCTCCTGCACCTGTCCCCTCAGCGGTGGTGCCGCAAAAGCCAGAAACCGGAAGTTGTAAGCCGGAACTCGGCTTCACAATGAGGCTTGGAGCGCAGGAAGCAGTCGCTCCATGCTTCATCTGTGCTCGCTGCTTGCCACAGAGGAATTTCTCCTCGTATTTGGCAAGCGGGCGCGCGGCTTTTTTCAAGCCCTGCCCTAGTCCCTCTATTCTCTCAAGACACCCCTGGGATACATACCTTCATGTGGCAAAGTAATTTTTCATTTGTATCTGCTTGCTTGTCACAAAACAGGCATACAGCAAAAACAGGAAGCTCCTCCCAGTCAGACCAGTCCCTGGTAAAAATTTGCAGATTGTAAACACTTTTATAATAGAACAGTGACTATGTTAAAAAAAAGATACATTTAGTTTATAGACGTTGAAAGCTGTAGGCACCCAGAACAATTAAGGGGAAATCATCCCAATGGGCACAAAGATTGAAAAATAAACCTGACTAAACGGTTTAACCCTCACCCCTTCTTTCCAAACCAAAAACATCATGGCTGAGTTGGACTTTAAATAATTTTCAAATAAAAAATAAAATAAAACAAAATTTCCCCATACTCTTCATTGTTGTCTCTAAATTCCCGATCATCTTCTGATTGAACAGTCTCCCAGTTCTTCCCTAGTTCCTTAAAGAAAAAAAAAAAAAAAAGTTACGTTTTAATTTCTAAATATTTATTGAGTAGTTTCATGGCAACAGTATCAAAACAATAATCACAAATAACTAACAACTTAAAGTGGTCTGACCACAGAAGCAGTTAGAAGACTTCGCCACCTGCTTTGGCTTTAGTAGACTGATAATGCAGTGCTGAGAATTTAAACCTGGCAATTTAGGGTTAAGGAGTAAATATTGGAGGAGAGAGAGTTAAATGTAAAAGCTTAACTTTAGGTGTTCAGTTAAACATTCAAGTGCTACTCTGCTCACCTGTTTCAGGGTTTACAACATGCCTGCTACATTTCTACACACATTGTAAATCTTTCCCAATAGCAAGTAGACTGTGGACCAATGTGTACCAAATGACGTACACAATTCTAGAGCATCTCTGCATAAGATCTTTTAAATCAGACCAACTGCGCTCAGTGTCCAAATTACTGATAAACGTGTACAGCAGCACTCAAACCACCCAATACCAGTGTACCAAATAAATATAAACTATGTTTTTGTGCTTTCACTTTAAGCATGTGAAACAAAAAAAAACCAACAAACGTATGTTTGCAAACCCCCCCCCCCCCCGTAAATATCAAGTATAGAACATAAAAACGTCCACCATATAGTTCATCACCCAAGATGTGTATATAATGCTGTTAATTCACTCAAAAGCCTTGCATTCTCCCAGGTGAGTTCCACTACCACTGACACACTCAGCCTCTTACCTATGGGTGAGACCTCCAAAATACAGATTTTAAATCGCTCTACAAACTCAGATTTCAGTAACATAACATGGGGAGTAGTAAAACACAGGGTACCTCAGCGGAAACTGCATTCAATCATCCAGTTATCTCCTCTGTTCACAGCACCACAGGGGTCCGGCAAAGATAGGGACAATGTTCATCGCATAATGCAGAGTTTTATTAAAACTTATATTAAAAAGGCTACTCACAAACAAGATGTGCTCAATCGCATCAAACACAGTTACCGCTAACTTAGCCAGCATGATGACGTCAACACAGGCTCTTTCCCAATGCGTTTCATAGTATAGGACATTCTCAAGGGGTCAGTTCATTGTGCTGACAATTTACATTTTTTTAAAAACACAATGAGCTTATGAATGCACCACAGTAATATTGTAAAGGTTTTGGGAACCACAATTGGGCTTAGGGTTCAATGTCTGCTGCTGCTCCTAATTTTGAGATATGGATTGCGTGCACGCCGAAATAATTACACTGACAAATGTCCAGTATAACCACTTTCACATCATCATCTGTTTATTGCAGGCAGTGCTTAACCTTTTATACAAGGAGAACAATAGGGTATACGTCACTATTACGTAAATATAGTCACATTCTAAAAGGCACATTTTGCTTGGCTGAAATATGGGAGAAGTGCAGAAACTTGAGGCCCGTTAGCTCTTCCCTCCCCCTTACATATTCAAGGCCGTAACTGCAAAATCCTCACAGAGCAACGGGAGGGGTTGAGAAACATCGCTGAACAAACAAGTTGAGGACTGCAAAGCCCAGCAGACAAAATATATACGCACAACACATATATTTAGAAATATAAAAAAGTATAAAAGTAAATATATATAAAATGTATATTTTAAACAGGAAACCGAATAGGCATTTTACCAAATCCATCACAATATGGCATCTCTGGCAACATGACAGCAAGCTACAGTACCATTTCTGGTATGGGAATGAGGTTCCAAATAGTTTGGAATGACAGTTCAGAAACAGTTAAGCACAACTAGTATAGGGTACCTCACACACAATTAAATTTAAAGTGTGAAAGAAAGAGCCAAACTTAAATAAAATTATACTAAATCAAACACCGCTTTTAAAAGAAAATCTAACCATTGCAGCAGACCCTGCACAGTTGAACATGGAAAGCTTCAAAGATGCTGTAGTCTGGTTTCTAAACAAAAACTCCAACAGTAAAAGGTTATTACCCATCCTAATATAATTATTAAAGGCATAATCAATCAAGGTACATGTTATTGCACGTAAAAGACAACCCAAACAAAAAGAAATCTTTAAACTCTGACAGGCTGGATTAATGCCTTCTCCTTTGCACTTTGGTAGCTTTGTGACAGAATACTCTTTGTTGCTGAATTAATTTTTCAATATAAAACAGTGTCCTTAACTAGCTATTAGGCAGCCTTACCAGTGAAAGGCAGAAATCAATGAGACATTCTGACAATGTTTCTTGTACAGCTCTCCTTAAAGAATGGTTATTTCCAGACTCAGGCCAAGAAGAGTAACATTAGCTGGAGAAGCCATATTTGACATAATTGGCTAGAGGTTTGAACTCGCTGTCTATTCGATGTGACCGCAATTGGTATACACGTAAACTTGCTAATGATCAGAAGCCTCCAGAGACTTCTCACCACACTTTCTTTGAACTGTATTTGCAGACCTTGTAGGACTGAGCAATTCAAAGAGGAAAAAGATTTCAAAACAGACAGTTTGCACAATGCAATGTACTAGTTTTGTTTATGCCATTTCAGCATATAAACTACTTTTGTTTAGATGTCAGTTCAAGCTTTCTATACTACACACAATGAATACTGATTGTGGGGCTGTCTTGAGAGTGTCTCTTAGAAAACTAATATATTGACAATACAGTTTCCTGCATCTTCTTAGCCTACCAAGTTGATATCTCATCAATTGCATCATTACTATATTTTAAACTACATTACCTAAAGTCTCAGGGGGGCTTGCAAATACCTCTTCATTATTACGTATATTGCAGATTATAGGGATAGCCTACATATTCTTTCAGTATCCTTGAAAGGATAAATTTGACTTTCCAGAAAAAATAATAAATGCACATATTTTGGACAAAAAAAATATATGCATTATTTTTTTTTCTGCAGGAGCCTGGGGTGCATTGCACCCCTGATTAGTGGATCAGGGGTGTAATGTCAGGCTTCTGCAGACAAGCCCAGAAGTTTTTTGACCATACCTCCATACAGGCTGTCTGTTTGAAAGCAGGGCTTGTGAATGGATGAGAAGAGTGCTCATCAGTGCCCTCACAGGTCATTTAGAACTACAAGCCATCAGCCACGGTGGCTGAAAATACTTTTAGCTCAGTCATTCATGATAAACTGTGAATGAATGACCCAACTGTGCGCGGAGCTCCTCACAGCCACACTTTTCATAAAGTGACATTGGGTGTGGGAAGAAGATCCCCTGCCTGCTGTCACAGCGAGAGGGGTAATTGGGGGGACTGGCGGCAGAAGCTGGAACATGTTACTTGATCCACCCTCAATACGTATGGAACATGTAACATGTTCCAAAAGGTGAACTTAGTCTTTAAGAGTAAGAAATATTTATTGATAAGATGTTAATGTTTGAATATTATTTGTACAACATTTACAGACTTACCAAATAGTTGATTATATAGAATCGATCGTACTCCTGGTTCTGCGCTTTGATTTTGCGATGTTGTTTTTTTCTCATATGGTCCTTTAGAGTACTTTTGTTTCTAAATATTTTTTCACAATATAAACACTGCAAACTAAGAAAATAAAATGGGATAAAAGGAATATATTAACATAAAGGACTAACAAAATACATATATATATATATATTTTTTTTTTTTCATTAAAGTATTATTTAATCCCCACAGTTTTTTAGCTTAACACATTCTGGGGAAATTAATAAAGCCCTACAAACATTTTTCTAGCACTCTGACCCTTTACAATGGCCTGCGCCAGACTTATAAATTCCTGCCGCTCATTTAGGTAACTTTACTGAAACATGCTGAAAATGCAGGTAGTTCTTGAAAGTACCACTTTTACAAAAGAAGTGCTAATATGGGTGGCTTTAGTTAAATTACAACTTAACATTGTTAAAATATTATACATATTACACACTTTAAGCTCGTTTACATTTGTGGCGCCCTCTGAAGAAGAATCCTCAGTGGATAACTCTTCTGAGGGAGTTTGAAAGGTGGTGAAGAGGTGTTATGTTGCCATCTCTCTGCCCATTTCAACCCCTAAAAACCAACACCACTGCACATTACAGTACTGTCTGCGGAACAGGACTGGGGGGGGGGGGATGGGTCGTTTTTGCCCCACCATGATGCAAAGTATCAAAGTTGCAGCATGTGTATTCCCCCATCCACTGCCTTTGCAGCTTATGGGGGTAGCGGCTAGGAGGGTTGGGACAGTAAAAACGCTATTTAACTGCATGTGTTTACACCCCAACCCCACCCCCTATTTCCCAGTCGCAAGTGTAAAACAAGGCCTTACTCTATGTTATACATATAGTCTCTTTTTTTCACATTAAAGTAGTTGTAAAGGCTCAAGGTTTTTTTTACCGTCATGCATTCTATGCATAAAGGTAAAAAACCTTGTGTGTGCAGAAGTCCCCCCAGCCCTCCTAATACTTACCAGAGTCCTATCGAGATCAAGCTATGTGCATGAGAACCTTGGCTGTCCAAGGTCTATGCCTCCTCATTGGCTGAGACAGAAGTGGGAGCCAAAGGGGGCGAGGCCGAGCCGCTGCTCCGTGTGACTGGACACACAGAGCAGCAGCTTGGAGGTGTGCCTACTCGGGTGCCCGCATAGCAAGCTGCTTGCTATGGGGGCACCCGACAGGAAGGAGGAGCCAGGAGCGCTGGCGGGGGACCTGAGAAGAAGAGGATCCAGGCTGTTCTGTGCAAAACCACTGCACAGAGCAGGCAAGTATTTAGTATCGTTTTAGGTCTGTCCACGTCGCAACTAAATCAAAGAAAAGTGGTGACACAAGGGAACATTTTAGAAGGAAGAGTGAAACTCCTAGGAAGGCACAGAGCTGAGGGTTTTTTGCTGCAGGAGTAAACAAGTTACAGAAAGCCCCATAAAGCTCCGACCAATAAGAACTGAAGCATTATAATAAACATTATAATTGATTCAAGTATTGCACTTACTTGTCCAATTTTCTCTGTAACACATCTAGAAACTCATTGCAATATACAAGATTATCTGGCAGTCCAACATTGAATGAGTGCTCTTCTTTCATGTGTTTAAAAAGAATAGATCTGCAAGGAAACAAATTTATCACTTTGGTAATTGATTAGGATTTCTGACTTACCTGTAAGAATCCCTTTTCTTGGATGACAGTACAGAACAAAAAAAAAAAAAAAAAAAAAAAAAACACCTTTAAATCTTGATCATGGGACGTCAGAGATCTCTTTGGGGTGCTTTTAAGAAAGCCAAAGAGAAGACAGGATGATGTCCTGAATAAAGTGGGAGGAAACCACACTAGGGAGAAGGGTAAGACTATGAGACTCGAGGCTTCAATACCACAATGTCTTTAAGAACAAGGAAGGAGTTCTTTACAGGATAAGTCTGCTACTTCTTAGAGAACCATCTCATGGATGTGATAGCCACAAGAAAAATTACCTTAAGAGCAAGGTTAGCCAAGGGAATATCCCGAATAGTGTCAAAGCAAGGCTTCTGTAAAGCCAACAGGACCACTTTAGGATTCCAAGGCAAGACAGGTCTACAAACCACCCCATAAAAAAAAAAGGCCACTGAGGGAATGAGTTGCCAATGGTCTCTGAAAAGGAATGGCCAATGCTCAGACTTGACCCTTCATGGTGTTCAAGGCCAAAAGTTGCTCCAGTCCAAACTGCAGAAAGGACAGAATACGTCCCATGGGGTAATGTTTAGGGTGAAACTTCCCTACTTTAAACTATACAAATTAAGCTCTCCAAGTATGATGACAGACTTTGCAAGAGGTTGATTTCCTAGCTTTAGGCAGCGTAGGAATAATGGCCACACAGAGATCCTAATCTTTCAGGACACAGATTTCAACAGCCGAGCCATCAAAGCCAGTGACTGCAAAGAAGGGTGATAAACAGGTTCTTGAAACAACAGGTTTGATTGGTCCGGAAGTGCACACAGGAGTCGAAGAATGTCTGAGTACCGAGTCCCTTTGGGCCAATTTGCTGCCACCAAAATTACTGGTGTGCCCCCCACCTCAATCATGCAAAGCAGCAGAAAAACAATAAGTAGTGGAGAGAAGATGTACTGTATATCAGGCAGAACTGATCCCAAGGGTCACTAGTGTGTCCACTGCAAAGGCCTTTGGATTGCTGTTCCTAGCCACAAACCTGTCCACCTGGTTGTTGAAGCAGGATCCCAACAGGTCAACATCCAGCATCCCCCAGTGGTGACAGGGTCAAGAATCCATTTCCTTGCATCTAGGAGCCAACAGCCAAGAAAGTCTGCTATCAGTTGTCTACTTCAGGAATGTGGACTGTGTATAAGCCTGGATTGTGCATTTCATCCCAAGTCAGAATTGGGTCCATTTCTTGAAGTGCACAGTGGCTTCTGTTGCTGCCCTAAAGATTAAATGTAAGCCATGGCTGAGGCTTTGTCTGACTGAACTCTCCTTGGTTCCCCCTGAAGCTGGTTGGTCCTGTGCAGCAATGATAGGTGGGTGACCTTTCTTGCAAGAAAGTTGATGGAAAGTTTGAACAACCTCGATGACCATGTCTTTTTGGATTGTTTTTCATCTCCAGGACAGCTCCCCAGTCCTACAGGCTGGCATTTGTCATGAGAACTGTTTAGGTTTATGGGAGAAGGGACTTCCCCTGATTCTAGTGCAGGGATGGTCTGCCACCAGGTCAGAGTTATCCTGGCTTTGGGACATAAACACATGTGCCTGCCCACTAGAGACTGAGGGAGCCTTGTCCCAAGCAGTCAGCACATTGAGCTGCAAAAGCCTGGAGTTGTTACAGACCATACTGGCACATGCTAGGCCATGGCTGCGACAAACTTAAAGTACTGCAGCAGCCCTGTCACACACTGCTCCCCTGGGTGAAAGTGCTCCCGCCGCCCATCCCCCTTATGTCCAAGGCAGGAGCTTGGTGTCCAGGGACTACCCCCAGGCTTTGGGGGTGCTGCTACATGTGAGATAGGTGGGGGGTGGGATGGGGTGGAGGTAGAGGCCCTTATAGGGGAAGGTGCAAAGCTCCCGAATCAATATCTTCCCAAGGGAACGACCACTAGGTGGAAATTCCCTGCTTTGCCCACTTCGCAGAGAATCTTCAGGGACTGGAACCACCAGGATTCAAATTCCCTCTATCCTGGACTTGTAGAGCACTCTGCAGCTAACCACACTACATTGTACGGATTTGATGAAGGACAACGCTAAACACAGAGTCCAGTGCCAGAGACATCTTTAGAGGTCTGCCTCATCATCTACATGTGGTGAGGTCGAGGTATGGCCCAAGGCGCTGCTATGGATGACCAATCCGGAAACTGCAATCTTATTGCCACAGTGTTGTTGATGCCTGAATCCTTCAATTTTCCAGTATATTCAGAATAATAAGCCACAAGCTCAAAACTTGTAGAAAGAGGTTGTTCATTACCCAGGGGCAACAGCAAAAACATGCTGATTGCTGAGCACAGGAGGGGTTATATAGGCTGTCCTAACACCTTTGCTTGCCAGTGTCCTCACCTAAAGGTCACAGCATATAACCCATGATGAAGATTTAAAGGAGCCTACATCCTGTACCGTACAATTATGAATAGGGAAGTACTGCCCAAAACAGCTGTGATATCTTACATTGTACATTAAGGTTTTTTGCAGGTCTATTTTCAATAACAGATCTAAAAATAGGGGGCTTATGGCTCACCTTAAGATAGTGGGCAGAGCCATGCAAACCATTCCTTTATGCCCCTAACACCAATCTGCACATACAGATCCAATCAGCTTTAAACAGCTGTATGAACTTTGGAATAAACATCTTGATAGTATTAGTCAGTATCTGTACTATAATTCCTGGCTGTGTAGATTGGCCATATGAGCATAAAGGAAAGTTTTGTAAGGAGCCCTACTCTCCACCTCAAGTGGCAGATAATTTTTTTGCTACTTTTTTTTTCCTTTATCGTGTTTCACTATTTTTACTTAGATGGTCTGTAAAATACTCCAAACTATACAGGTGAAACTCAAAAACTTAGAATATCGTGCAAAAGTTCATTTATTTCAGTAATGCAACTTAAAAGGTGAAACTAATATATGAGATAGACTCATGACATGCAAAGCAAGATAATTCAAGCTGTGATTTGTCATAATTGTTATGATTATGGCTTACAGCTCATGAAACCCCAAATCCACAATCTCAGAAAATTAGAATATTGTGAAAAGGTGCAATATTCTAGGCTCAAAGTGTCCCACTCTGATCAGCTAATTAAGCCATAACACCTGCAAAGGGTTCCTGAGCCTTTAAATGGTCTCTCAGTCTGGTTCAGTAGGAATCACAATCATAGGAAAGACTGCTGACCTGACAGTTGTGCAGAAAACCATCATTGACACCCTCCATAAGGAGGGAAAGCCTCAAAAGGTAATTGCAAAAGAAGTTGGATGTTTCCAAAGTGCTGTATCAAAGCACATTAACAAGAAAGTTATGTGGAAGGGAAAAGTGTGAAAGAAAAAGGTGCACAAGCAGCAGGGATGACCACAGCCTGGAGAGGATTGCTCCTGTTAACGCTTGCTGGAGGCTGCCATTTTGCTGAAGCCTAGTGCCCATGAGCAACAGTAAATCTTTAGGCTGTCAGCAGATTAGCCTCTACATTTTTGGCACAGTGCCTAAAAATAGAGAGCAACTGAGCATGTGCACAGCAGGGAGAGACAGTGTATTACTGGATTTTAAACAGTATAGGCACTTATTTTTTAATGTTTCGCATAGCTATAGCTGCAAAAGGGGACAGCCTGAAGTGATCTAGCAGGACTTCATTTTCTTACTAAAGTTCCACTTTAAATTCAGATACAGCCAGCTAACTAGCAAAAGGAGACAGATAATAGCAGTTCTCATAGTTCTTTTAATGATAGAGTTCCTTTAAGTGCAGGAAAACTCCATTTGGTACAAAAAAAAAAAAAAAAAAAAAAAAAAAGATACCGTAATTCTATCAAAATAAATAAAAATATCAGGTGACTGATGATTAATGCACACGGTTATTCTAATGAGACAATTCCCTGGTATTCTTGCTTTTCCATGCTGTACAAAAATCTGGGCAGACTGTGCTTGCAGCAGGAAACGCAGCAACACCCCTTCTAAGCTTTCAGAGAACTAAAAATTACAGCAAAATAGCTCAAAAGAAAGACCCTTATCTCCGTTTAAAGAATTTTGCCCTAAGTCATTTCTAAAAGATTCAGTATGCTGAAGTCTCAAGGGACAGGCAATGTTACTTATTGTCGAGAATTTTCATTAGTATGTAAAAGTGAAAAACAAAATAGGTTGATAGTAAAAAAAAAAAAAAAAAAAAAAAAAAAAACCTATTCCCCAGGCATAGAACATCAATAAGTATTTCTCATAAAAACAGTACTTAATACATAAAAAAAAAAAAAAGCAAAGCATAAATTAATCCTACATAAAACTATTTTCATGTGTGCAAACGCCGATTATAGTGTGGCGACAATTATTTTTTTTGCCATGGGATATGTACGGCTGAAAGTTTATCTTTAGATGGGTGGTCAGGGGTGCTAAAACCATGGCTCAACTACCTACTTTTACTGTCCCCTGGTGCCCATGTGAATCAGGCCTAGAAAGCAGTAAAGTCATTGCAAAGCTATGTTTAGGAGCCATGGTAATATTACAGTGTAGTTAATGGTCCAATAACATGAAATTCCAAGCACTGTAAATGCATTGATGCCTCTATTTTCTTCTTACCTTTATTTTTGTTGGTGGTACAATTATTTGAAATAATAAAGCCTTTCAAAATTTTGGAAGCAATGCATAAAACAATTAAGTTTATGAAATTCCAGGTTCTAGTAAACAATACACTCCTATTAGCTAGGAATGCAAAAAGATCACAATAGGGAATAAATAAAACAAACCTGTTTCCTTTAAATTCTTCATCACAAAACATGCAGAGCCTCTGAAAGCTTGTATCTGATCTCTCACACTGCTGCTGTTCCAAAATGATTCTCTGTTAAATTATACAAACATAAATGTATTATGGCAGATGACAATAAAATTTATGAAACTGCACGGTTATGTGCTTTCAGTGACATTTATTGCTTATAATGTCTTGCTGTAACATGTGTAAGATATGCCTAATAGTCCTTTAAAGCAATACAACCTGAATCTGAAAAGATGCATATCAAAGTAGATGTGAATCCTTACTAGATAAGTATCCAAGGGAATATTTATAAATTCACCAAACATTCACTGCAGGTGAAACTACTATCTGCATGGGTTTTAAAATGATGGTGACTGATTTACCACCAGTGAATGTTTGGGCTACCCAACTGCAAGGAAGGATTATTGTTATCCCTGGAGCTCAGGTTTAAATGTGGAAAAAGGTATAAGGTTTACTTGATTTGGAATGCATCTGTCTCATCCTAGAGTTAAGTCAACGCTAGAAGATCGGCCAGTATCACATAGTCTCCCCTGGCCCCTTGTTCCTATTCCTAAACAAAATGGATGGTCACATTCTAAACAACACAGGGTAGAGAAGCATTTTGTCCTTTAACCAGTCCTGGACATTGTGTGTGATGTATGTGCTCTAAAGCCCTGACCCTCTCTTAAAGCAGAGCTCCACCTAAAAGGGGACATTCAGCTTTAAGAACTCATCCCCCATGAAAAATTGGCACCTTTGGGGAGCGGATACCTGACTTTGATAGGTACCCACTCCCACCTCCACTCTGACCATCTAGGTAATTGGAAGGTCTCCTGTGGGACCATTCACAATGCACAGCACTAATCGCACATGTGCATCGGTCACCCAGCTGTGAAGCCGCAAGCTGTCACAGCCGGGTGCCCACAGTTAAGATGCCAGCACCAGGGAGAAAGGACGGCCAGTGAAGCTGGCTGGCGTGAGCACACCACTAGATCCTGGGACAGGTGAGTGGCTGTTTTTTTAAAAGTCAGTAGCTACAGTTTTTGTAGCTACTGACGTATTTTTTCACAGGAGACTTGAGCTCCGCTTTAAGCTGCACTTGTTGGCAAAAAGCAGCTAAAACACTGATGAGAAGCTCAAATCAAGAAATACAATGCAGCACCATTTTGTAACACTAGTGACCTTTCGATCTGCATATGATTTAAGTTAAAGTGTTACTAAACCCAGGACCCTGCATTCACTATATCTGACCTCCCACAGTACATAGAACATGGAAATGCAATTATTTAAATGTAAATATAAACTGCTAAATACCTTTTCTCATCAGCAGTTAGAGCAGTCTTGTGACTTCAGCAGACCACTGGTTAGAGCACAGGTTAAAACTTGTAGGAGGAGTTTTATTTCTGCTGTAGGAGGACCCTCTGTCTGGACAGTGCTGATTGGCCCTGTGCTGATCACATGCACTCTCCCAAAGAAAAAAAAAAAACCCTCTAGCAATACACACCAAACTGAGCATGTGACTACAGGTTCAGTCTGTCTTATCAAGTGGACATTTCAACAAGAGGAGGGGCAGAGAAAACAGGACCAAACAGCCTTTTTACAGAATGCAGAGGATTAACCCCTTAGGTTCTGCAATGAGTATACCAAGCATGCTTTACTGCATATACAGATTGATTTTACTGTTGTGGGTTTAGCAACACATTAAAGCAACTTTACAAGCAAGAATAAAAAAACTACATTCTGTTCTACAGGATTTGGGAAAATGCAAACTTCCTCTAAGGTAGTGTGCTTCTGCTATCATTTACAGCCTCTGGAGAATGCATCTTGTTAAATACCACAATTCATCATTCCTATAAGATGACACTACAATGTATTTAGAGTGAGCAACGATTTAGCCCTATTGTGTTTTAGAGGACAATCATAGTTTTAGCACTGCAGTTATAACAGTTAAAAAAAAAAAACAACAAACAAACAAACCAGTCTATGTGACTACCACAGACCAAGACTACAATATAAAAAACTTATAAAGAAATTCAATAAAACCACTCTCCTAAAATGTACTATTATTAAAGAAATAAATGATTATTAAAATCACTCAAGCTGCCAATATCTTAGGAACTACGTAAACATGGATGGTACCCCCTCACAACGAGTAACACACATTTTTTTTTTCCACAAAACCTTAATAATCATCTGAGACCAATTTCCTCCAATTAAAAGAAGAAGTGGATACAAGATGAAACAGGAACAAGTATGTGATGCATGTTATGGCTGCTAGACTTGTCATACATCTTAGAGATGTAGAGATGTAGGCAAGCCGCGGCTCGCCTTTAGTCTAATGCGGCTCTTCTGTGTGCCGGGCGCCTGCCCCCTCCCTCCTCTCGGTCTTGCCTAGCCCCAAAAGTCCGCGCGGACCTTTTAGATGTGGCTGTCAGGAAGGCGGGGCAGCGTGCCGAACGTGAGGGGAGGGGAGCTAGGCTGATTGAATTGACACAGGGTCCTTTCACACGGGTGTTCCATTTGAATTACTATGGGGGATGAATTACAATTACTATGGGGGATGAATTCATCAAGGGATCCATCACATGAAGACGCGCGAACGAACGGCGCGGGGAAGACAGCGGAGAGGAACGCATTTTACTAGATGAAATACAGTTCCATCACATTTTTTCAAAGAATTAAATGACGGATTCAGTCTACATTCGTTTTTTCATCCACTACCGATGCAAAAACTGATTGCCTGTTTACATCAGTTTTTTGTCCGTTGTGGTTTTTTAAATGGAACAAAAATAATTGGGGGGATGAATTACTTTGACTCGTTTAAAAAAACGTTTACTATGATGATATGTGAATTACAGATAAGGATGAATCATCAGTTTTACATTGTTTTTTTCACAGAGATTTGGCATTGATTGTCTGTTTTTCATCCCCAGACTGGAATGCCTGAATGGGTGTTCCATGGTTTTATCAGTTCCAAATTTTTTCAAAGGACAGTCTACATTCGAACCACTACCGATGCAAAAACTGTGTGAAAATGAGGCTTTGACTCGTTTAAAAAAACATTGGACGTTTTCAGTTTACATTTACAAAGATGCATTGATGTCTGTTTTTCATCCCCCAATGGAAAATCAAATGGAACTGTGGAGGCCTAAACCGTTTTCTTTTCAGGGCGAAAATCACTTGATTGATTTGTAATTACAATATTTTGTGTTTGATCTCAAGGTTTGTGGGTCAGTAAAGTGAAATGTTCTTGCAAATTTTGGGTTAAACAGAACCCTTCAATTTTCATAAAAAATACTCCATTAAATTTTTCCCAAAATAGTGCAGCCTAATCAGACTAAACAACACTGTTACTGATAAGCACATTTCACCATTTTATCAAATAAGTCAACAGCTAAACCCTCCTCTCCATTTCTAACCACTCTCCCTATGCAGCAATGACTGACAAAAAAAAGGCAGAGGTATCTTTGACTTGGGGCCTGTGATTAACAGGCTGGATTGCCCTCTTCTATACTATGCTGGACCAGAGACAATGAGGTGATGTCCAAAGGGGACAAACTGAGGCTGACATTGTTCTCGCCAATTAAGCATCAGTGAGGTACAGTCATGTAAAAAAGTAAGTTCATCCCATGGAAAATGTTGACTTGTTCAACATATTTGAATAGGCATACATTAGATCTTCTAACAGGGTCAACAGATAAAGATAATATTTTTCACATAAAACTAACAAAGGTATATCCATTCTTATAATCTAAAAATTAAAACTGCAGATTTGTCATGTGGAAAACTTAAGCACACCTGTACATTTACCATCATTCAGATCCATACAACAATAATCAGGTGTGCCAGATAGAGCTCTTTTTTAGGGAGTATGCAAATCTTATCGTAAAAGGATACGTTCACCTTTCTACATAAAATAAATGCACATTATTTTCAGATAAAAAAATGTGCATTTATTTATTTTTATTTGCAGTGGAAGCCTGTAAAGCATTGCACCAAAGATCAGCAGATCGCTGGTGCCATGCAGGTCTTCTGTAGACCTGTCAGTTTATCTGCTTGGTCGTACATCTTGTACAGGCAAGCTGATACTTCTGACAGGAAGATTCAATGAACTACCATGGCACTTACAGTGCCATGGTAGTTCACTGAGAACCACAAGACAACAGCCGTTAAGGCTGCTGGGACCTGGGAGTCCATTAATTCACAGAACACTGAATGAAAGACGTAGCCATGTGAGCGGAGACCTGCACGGCTGTGCTGGTTTTTTAAACAGCGACAGCTAGTACAGGGAAATTCTCCCTGTACTTCTGTCACAGGTAGGAAGGAGATCTGGCAGCAGCTGCAGGATCGGGAACATGTTACATGCTCCACCCTAAAAGCGGGTGGAACATGTAACATGTTCCCAAAGATGAACTTATCCTTTAAGTATCTCTTCGCTATTTATGTTTGTGGTGTCATAATGCAAAGATTAAAAGAGCTCTTTTAGGCCCTTACAGAAAGTTGTGTATGCCTACGTCTTTATCAAGGGCGTAAAAAAGATCAAATAATTTTAAGTCAATTCTTGATCTTAGGTACCGTATATACTCGAGTATAAGCCGACCCGAATATAAGCCGAGGTACCTAATTTTACCACAAAAAACTGGGAAAAACTATTGACTCGAGTATAAGCCGAGGGTGGGAACACCAGTGGGAAGAATCGTGCCTCATCATTGCTGTCAGTGGGAGGAATAGTGCCCCATCATTGGTGTCAGTGGGAGGAATAGTGCCCCATCATTGGTGTCAGTGGGAGGAATAGCGCCCCATCATTGGTATCAGTGGGGGGAATAGCACCCCATTATGGTGTCAGTGGAATAGTGCCCCATCATTGGTATCAGTGGGAGGAATAGTGTCCCCCATCATTGGTGTCAGTGGGAGGAATAGTGTCCCATCATTGGTGTCAGTGGGAGGAATAGTATCCCATCATTGGTGTCAGTGGGGGGGTGGAGGAATAGTGCCCCATCGTTGGTGTCAGTGGGGGGGAGGAAAAGTGCCCCATCGTTGGTGTCAGTGGGGGGGAGGAATAGTATCCCATGATTGGTGTCAGTGGGGGGTGGAATAGTGCCCCATCATTGTTGTCAGTGGGGGGTGGAATAGTGCCCCATCATTGGTGTCAGTGGGGGGGGGGGGGGGGGAGAATAGTGCCCAATCGTTGGTGTCAGTGGGGGGGGGGGGGAATAGTGCCCAATCGTTGGTGTCAGTGGGAGGAATAATGCCCCATCATTGGTATCAGTGACACCAATGATGGGGCACTATTCCTCCCACTGACACTTGCTGACCCCTGTTCCAGTATGGTGCTGCTGCAGCCAGCATATGTGGTTGCAGCAGCACCTAAGCACGGCACACTTACCTGCATCTCCTTCACTTGATTTTCGCGGGGCAGCTCAGCTCCGCCTCCTCGCCGGTGATTGGCCGCCTGTGTGCCTTTCCTGAGCTACAGTTCTGGCGGCCAATCACCGGTGAGAAGGCGGAGCCGAGCAGCCGCGCGAACATCCAGTGGACGAACCGAATGAAGGAGCAGCCGCGCTTCCTGGACCGGATCGTCGTGGGACCGGAGCCAGGTAAGAGACAGCAGCCCCCTGCAGACGTTGACTCGAGTATAAGCCGAGGGGGCCGTTTTTCAGCACAAAAAATGTGCTGAAAAACTCGGCTTATACTCGAGTATATACGGTAACTCTTGCAACAATAGATGTCAAAGTGCATGCATCTATAATAAGAAAGACTGTAAAGCATGGTGGTGGAAATATGGTTTGATGCTGCTTTGTTGTTTTAGGGACGGGGCAACTTTCAGTCATAAAGTCAGCTATATGAATTCTGCATCATATCAAAGGTAAGCTTGATGAGAATGTGAGGCTGTCTGAAAGTTGAGCTAAAAATATGTGTTTTAGCACAATAATGTTCCAAAGCACACTAGCAAATACACCAAAGAGCTTTTAACACAAAAGGGACAGATGTCACCCAGGGTACACACTGGAACCTGGGGTAAAATTTCTAGTCATAGGTATATTTTAAATATTTGATTATAAAGCAAAACAAAATTGTAGCAGGTAGAAGCTATATCAACTCTATCCAACTACTGCACTGAACCGGTATTTTGTTTTCAGCTCCAAAGAATCAGAATAAAAGGTTCAATTTAAGTTTTACAGGGTAGTTTTAAGGGCAAAAATGTTGTTGTTTGAATAAGGTTAAGTGCAAAAACAGCATTAGAAGGGTTACTCAATAGAGTAAGGTTTAGCTGCGCGTTTCTCAAGCTTTTTACCCCATTTTTTTTTCTTTTTGGAAACCCTTACTAAAACCAGTTCATCCAGGATCAGTTATAAAAATGCCTCTTACATTGGTGGTCAGAATGTCAGTCTTACAGACAGCTAAAAAGAT